TTGATGCCGCCACTGCTATCGCTTCCAGTTATGTCGTCAATGCAGTCGCCACTAATGTAGTCACTACTCTGCTGGCGACACTACTATTCGCAGCTAATCTCGCCACTGCAATCGCAACTACCGTTGCAAGTAGTGTCGCAACTAATCTCACCATAACTGCCGCCACTGCTCCTGCTAGTGCCACAGTCTAGGGTCAGGCAAGAGCGACAAGGCTCGCAGAACTCAACACAACCTAATGGATAAGGAAACAACGCTCACACAACTCACCTCTGAGGCCTTCCCTTTGGACGGTCCGGACACGATGCCAGGCGACGACGACCACGCATTCACAGGCCCGCTCCCTCCACTCCCACCGCCACCACTACTGCTGCTGCTGCTCACAGCCCCAACGGCTGCTGCTGCCGCATCCTTCAAACCCGCAGCAGCAGCACTCCAGGATTTAGACAAAACCTTCACCGGCACTCCCCCACTCCCACTACCCCCACCAGACGCGCCTATACCCCCGCTTTTAGACGACGGGGACGTGGGGCCGGCCCCACCAGACGCGGACTTAGCCACGGATGCGGCAGCCTTGGCAGCGGGGGGCAGAGACGAGCGCACGAGCAGCGCGACCGTAGGCTTTGGCGCGGGAGCAGCGGGTAACGAGGTGGAAGATTTGGAGGACGAGGAGGGCACGGAGAATGATCCTTTCGACTTGCTGCCGTCGCCTGTTTTCCCCTCCTTTTTACTATCGCCTGACTTGCCGTCCTTTTTGCTATCGCCGGTTTTTCCTTCTTTTTTGCCGTCGCTGGCTTTACTGTCGGTTTTTTTGTCGTCCTTGCCTTTGCCGCCCTTCTTCGCCGCAGCTCCCACAGGGGCTGGCGGAGGCTCGGGCATCTTGGCCTTTCGCCGCTTCTTGCTGCAACGGAGAGAGGGGAGAACGGAGGGAGCGCGGGAGGAAGAAGTGAAAGATGAGGTGACGAAACAAAGAACTGTATGTCTTAGTATGCCGGTGTTTCTTAGAATGCCTAATTAAAGGGCCGGCTGAAGCGGAGGAGGGATGAGTCGAGGCCTAATTACAGGGCCGGCTGAAGCGGAGGAGGGATGAGTCGAGGAGATGGGCCATGAACACGAAATAATAAGGAAAGCAGGGAGGCAAACGGGAAAGCTACGCACAACTTTTCTCGCACAAAGTTTCTAGTGGACAGGAACACAGAAGCGCAGGCAGAAACGGCGGAAAATGAACGCATCCGCACGCATTTGCTTGCAGAATAACTTCGTTGCGGCGTTTGAAACGCGCGGATACGGGGGAGAAAGGAAGGAAAGGGTGTGCAAGGAGATGTTGCACCTGTTTTCGTTCCGAGCATGAATCGGGTGGGACTTGGTGATCTGGAAACACAGGAATGCCACGATGAGAGAGAAACGCAAGGAGAGCCGGGGGGACGAGCAAACGGATGAAAGACACGAGACACAAGACAGGACGAAGGCATTAGCCGCACGAGGCAAGAGACGCATGAGGTATCAGATGAAAGAGATGGAGGAGTGGAACAACGGAACACGCATGGAGGGAAGGGTATTGGTATTAGCAAATGAAGGAGAGCACGCAGATGAGTGCATGAGCCATGAAAAAAAAAGAAAATCAACACTCGGTCCAAGAAGAAGGTGAAGATAAACAAAGAACAAGATCGCCTGATGCTAATTCGTGAAACTAGTTTAGTGAAAAAAAAGGCTACGAAAAAACAAGAACATACAGGGTGCGATCCATGGCAAGAAAGAAAAATGTAAGGAGAAACCTACACGTCCAGGACACGGCTTGTCGAACTTCGTCGCTTTGCCATTGCCACGTGGACACTGGAAGCCCGTCTTTCGTTGCCTGCGTTACAATGAGCAAAGGCGAAAGGACACGTAAGAATTGTCATGGTGAGGTCATCACGGGGTGATTAAAGGATTGGTGGAAACAAAAACAAAGTAGAGGAATACGGAGGCTACTAGACGCTTGAGATAGATGGTGTTAAGTTTAAAGTAACGATTCTTCATATTTCGAGGTTTTTTCCAAGACAATTGCTGCGTCGCCAAGAATTGGCCTTCAGATACCAGATAACTGGTTGCTGTATACTGTTATACGTTGGAATCGCCTAATGCTTGCTGCACAGCTTGTAACAACCCTTAGTGAGCCGAGATGGAAAACTTGAAACTAAATCAAAGAGGATCAACAGGAGGATTCTAAACCACGCCAGCACGATGCGCTCAAATACTTCTCGTTGAGCGCCAAAGAACTTGACGGAGAGAGACGGAACGCTATCCTTACAACCTTGGAGGACGTTCAAAAGAAGGCGAAACTGGAAAAAGCATTGACCCCGGAGGAAGCGTGGTTTCTATTCGGAAGTTTCTACCCTATAACTACAGTGATTTTTCACAGCTACTGCAAAAATTCATCCCATCTATCGATCTACCATTTCCTGACCAGAACCGGCTGCAGCGAGGAGGTAACTAAAGGCGTGAGTTTTAAGAACCATACTTGTCCAGACGGATGCTCTTTAAAAACGCCTCGATGCAGTGTTGATGGTACACGCCTGAGCTCGCGCATCCTTCGAACGTGCACGAGAGCGCGTTAAGCTCGTCCTGCGTACTATCGCACGGCTCCCCGCAATAGTCACAAACTCCCTCGATATCATGCAGAGAATGACCCGCGGCTGGCACGGCGGGCGCGACTGGCGGCGGCATTTTCGCGATAGAACTTGCAGGAAAGGCTGCAGCAAGAAGCGAGATACAAAAGTGCTGTTGTTAGCGAAGAGTTAGTCAGGCAACACGGTGTGGTTGTCCTAAGCTTAACGACGGAGAAAAACACGGAACCTATAAGGTCGTCTGGAAGGACATCCTACGATAAACAGGATTCGGTTTCAGGACACGAACTAATCAATCAGTTCTACGAAGAATGCCGCCTGCACAGAGCTAGCACGCAGCAGCAATGATCCTAAATCGAACGTGCTCTTACTGTGCAGACACAAAGGTTGAGGTTGCAATGCCGCGAATTACGGACCGTGAGGTTCCCGAGGTTCTCTAGGGTTGTTGCAATGGCAACAAGGGAGCCACACAGCACCAGCCAAAGAAAACCTAGATTCTTCCCAAACGCTCCCACTGCTTTGGCTTGCTCAGCACAGCACTGCTGTTCGGCTCTCTGTCAAGTTTTCCTCACATCCCTCGTGTAGCTATCTTTGTTCGCTCTCCGTCATGCTCTGTCAGTCATCTCCGCCCTGCTGGCGCTAGACAGTGCCCCACGCGTTCCGCCGTGCTGAGAGCAAGAACTACTCGGCGGAGCAACTGAACCACGAAAGGGAGCGCGTGGTGCGGAAAAGGCTCGGGGGACCGTTTTGCGGAGGTCTTGGGGAAGCATGTGGCGATACTGATGGTGACCTGACCTTGTCTGGAAGATGTCGGTCAGACGGTAAGTTTCTGATAGCCATTTCACTGACCGCGACGTTTGCGATCGCCAAAGTGACGGGTCTTTCTGCTGTACGATGTCAGCTTCGTGCTGATCACGCCTCCTCCCGAAACACTTTTCTAATTTACGGGCAGCCCCTGACCGACGGGCAAAGAAGTATGGATCATGTGTGGGCTATCGAGCCATAACGGGGATTTGGCCGAAGCAAGCACCCAATCACAGGCGTGGTTGAGCCTCGATCAATCCTCCTGAACCAAGCAAACATCAACAACAGAAAGGCCGAACGTTTAGGGTTTTGCTCGTGTCGTGACGCAGCTCTGGTTACAGTGTCAGACATGCTTCGCATGTGCGAAACTTTGCAGGCCAAACTTTGCCGCCGCCACCTCGGATGCCACGGAAAAAAACACTGAAATCGGGTGTTTAGAAAGTGCGATACAAATCTGCCACGAAATGAAGTGTAAGGAAAATGTTCTAGGAAAACAACTCTATTGCCAATGCAACATACAGTTCGTGATGCCACACATAACATTTACTATGATTTTCATAAAATACAATAAAGGATTCAAAACACAGTTTACAATACCATGTAGAAGTATTCTCTCAGTTTTGATACTTATATGGTATATGATAGAGGGTACAACGTGATAAAAATCTATGTAAATGTTTTTTTCCTAAGCGAAATGTGACATTAATACGACGGTGCTGCTGTCTGATGGAGATATTTGGTTTCAAAACGTAGTGAAAGTGTAATTGATAAAGGATCATTCCCTTGCTAGTGTAGAAAAGGAGAAACACCTGTTGTTTGCAGGACGTTACAACTGTTCATTGTAAGTGCCAGTCACTGTGCGATTACGGGGTTTGCTTTGCCGGTGCACACGTTCCTTTGCGAGCAGCCATATCCATTGAACCTTGAGCTTGCCTCCGATCAAAAAGGAACTCGCAGCAAGAGGCAACTTAGTGACTTTACTTCCTTCGCCAAAGGCAGAACCGACACCGCCTGACGCTTAGAGTGCATTGCTATCACAGTAGTGGCTTATTGGTCACGTATTACCGCCACGCTTGGTACGTGTAGGATACTTGTGCATAGGTTCTGCCTTGGATTTCCTATTCAATATAGTCTTTAGAGTCAATAAGCTTTGAGTCAAGACGAATCTGATACAATTACGGACGCAGTGAACCAGCTTAGAGCAAAGTTTTGGTCTTCCACATCCAACATGAGTTCCATTATCTAGGCCTAGTTTTCAGGGTGTTTTCGAGCTGTACACCTTGGCCCGGGTCACACAAGTTTGCATCCGCGGTGGTTGTATCGACCGGCGGCTGTAGCGGCGCGGCCGCTTCGGCTGTAGCAACGGTGCCGCCAGTCGACTCGTCAGCTTCTACTCGGTCGATCCCACGGCTGTAGCGACGGTTGGCGTTGTCGTATCTACGGCTGTAGTTGCCGGCTTTAGCAAGTTTCAGATTGCTGAAGTGTAGCTGTGGGTTGTGCTACAGCCGTAGGAGCAAGAGGAGTTGAAGCGGGAGTTGAAACAAGAGTTGCAACAGGAGTTGAAACAGGAGTTGGAAACAGCAGTTTCTAACGATGGAGCAGCTACTAACGAGTGAACAGCGGGAGGTGCTTATAGCGGTGGATGGAAGCGAGTGTACGTCGCAATCACTACTTTCCTGCTTTCTATCACACACGCACGCACACACGTACACCCACACATGCAAGCACCCAGACCCACATACAAGCACACGCGCATGTTCACTCACGCTCATCTCCCCCCTGTTTCTTCTTCTCCTCCAACCGTCCTTTCACGATCCCCCTCTCGTCCTTCCTCAGTTTCCACCCTCCCTCCCTCCCTCCCTCCCTCCCTCCCTCCCTCCCTCCCTCCCTCCCTCCCTCCCTCCCTCCCTCCCTCCCTCCCTCCCTCCCTCCCTCCCTTCCTCCCTTCCCTCCCTCCCTCCCTCCCTCCCTCCCTCCCTCCCTCCCTCCCTCCCTCCCTCCCTCCCTCCCTCCCTCCCTCCCTCCCTCCCTTCCTCCCTTCCCTCCCTCCCTCCCTCCCTCCCTCCCTCCCTCCCTCCCTCCCTCCCTCCCTCCCTCCCTCCCTCCCTCCCTCCCTCCCTCCCTCCCTCCCTCCCTCCCTCAATCCCTCCCTCCCTCCCTCCCTCCTCTCTCCTCTCTCTCACCCGTCTGCCTCGCATGGACACCTCACCTGACTCTCAATGTGCTCTCCCTGTCTATCTAGCATACCTCCCTGCCTCTTCCACATTCGCAGGTTCAGAGCTCGCGTTCGTTTGGGGCTTTAAGGACTTTTGAGGCGCCTAAAAGAAAGAAAAAATAACAGAGCTCGTGTTCGTTTGGGGCTTTAAGGACCTCATGCGCGTGCGTAGCTGACTGTAATCATTCGTGCTCTCCCTGTCCCCACCATATCCCTGACTCCCTTTCTCTCTCACTCACCCTGCAGGTTCAGAGCTGGCATTCAACTGGGCGTTGAGGAATTACTGCAAGGCCCAGGATCATGTGCGCCTTATCCATGTGCGCAAATCATTCGACGGTAAGCAGGCTCACATTCATATTGAAGTCACTTGTTAGAATTCTCAAATGGAATTACTGCAAGGCCCAGGATCATGTGCGCCTCATTCACGTGCGCAAATCATTTGACGGTAAGCAACGTTACGAGAGCGGAGGAAACGGTGAGACGAAGGGTGGTAGAATAGAAGAACAGCCGGTCAGGGGCGTCTAGGTTCTTGTTTCTTTTCTTTCCTCTTATTCCCCCTTCCCCAACCCTTTCCTCCCTCTTCCCTGCCCTTCTTTTCCCCCTCTCCCTCCAGACATGGCGGGCAAGGCAAGCTTCCAGCGGACGCCATGGCAACACTGGAGGCACAGGCAGAGGCATCTGCACGTTGCTGATCCATCGCCATCCCATTCCCTCAATCCCCCAATTTGACCACTCCCATCCCTTTTCTCCCTCCAGACATGGCAGGCAAGCTTCCAGCAGACGCCATAGCAACGCTGGAGGCACAGGCGGAGGCAGCTGCGCGCGCCATAGTGGAGAAGTACATGAAGAAATGCGCTGTGGCGGATGTGAGTGCGCTTATATGGGGTTTGAGTGCGCTTATAACAGAGGCAGCTGCGCGCGCCATAGTGGAGAAGTATATGAAGAAATGCGCTGTGGCGGATGTGAGTGCGCTTATATGGGGTTTGAGTGCGCTTATAACAGAGGCAGCTGCGCGCGCCATAGTGGAGAAGTACATGAAGAAATGCGCTGTGGCGGATGTGAATGCGCTTATATGGGGTTTGAGTGCGCTTATAACAGAGGCAGCTGCACGTGCTATAGTGGAGAAGTACATGAAGAAATGCGCTGTGGCGGATGTGAGTGCGCTTATATGGGGTTTGAGTGCGCTTATAACAGAGGCATCTGCACGCGCTATAGTGGAGAAGTACATGAAGAAGTGCGCTGTGGCGGATGTGAGTGCCTTTGAGGTTTCTCAAAGTGACTTGGTTAGAGCTGGTCTGCAAATCCATTAGCACGCGCCATAGTGGAGAAGTACATGAAGAAATGCGCTGTAGCGGATGTGAGTGCGCTTATAACGAATTTGGGGTGCGTTTGTAACAGATTTGGGTGCGCTTATAACGGATGTGAGTGCGCTTATAACGGGTGGTACCTGAAGACATGCGCTGTAGCAGAGGTGAGTGTGCTTATAACGGATGCGAATGCGCTTATAACGGATGAGTGTCCGTGCAGCTTGTGAGTCAAGCTTATGAAGGGCGCTGTGACAGGAAGACAGGAGCAGACGAGCACATTGTGTGAGGCGGTGCCTTAGAACCTTAAAAAACAGATAGAGGTGCTGCTAATGCATGTGGTTTTTTAGAATCCTTAAAAACCACTTGCAGATTCAGATGTGTAGTGCAGATTGAGAGGTGCCAGACAAATTTCGGCACTTCATATCCTCGAAACTTCAGAGTTGGTGTCAGTGACCTTTTGTTTGGTTTTTCCCTTCCTTTTTTTTTCCGTTCGGTTTGCTTGCAGCTGGACTGTGATTGGAAGATAGCGGTGGGGGACGAGCGAGAGGTGATCTGTAGAGAAGTGATGCGCGTGTGTGCGGACGTGCTGATCGTCGGAACGAGGGGGCTGTCTCCAGTCAAGAAGTGAGTTGAGGAAGGAGACTATGTTTGACAGCCATGATTTTCAAGAGCATCACAGTCAGTGTGCTGTGTGGGCTCGGCTGTGTGGGCATTTTCGTGTCTGATTTGAGGCTTTGACGTCATGCATAAGTTTGCTTGTATCGCTTTTGAGAATCCTCAGGAGAGTCTGGTTGAGGCCTTCAAGTGAGCCCATACATGCGTGTGATTTTGCCCATTCTCTCGAAATAATGTGGTCGTACACGGGTAGATGCAGACACATGCGACACAAACAAACATCCTAACTACCTCTCCCACTTTCACTCTCCCTCTCTCCCCCACTCCCGTCCCCGCCTCTTTCTCTACTAACTGCAGGGCCCTTCTTGGTTCAGTCAGCGAGTACTGTGCGCACCACAGGTGGGTTTATTCAGCGAGTCAAAAGTCACCACCTTGAATATCGGTCAGTGCGCACCGGACACAGCACAGACAGGTGGGTTCATTTAGGCACAGGTGTAGCTGCTGCCACGCTGGTTGTTTCTGTGACTTTTGAGTCGACTCAAAAGTCACCTCGTTCATTTAGGCACAGAAAGTTGTAGCTGCTGCCACGCTGGTTGTTTCTGTCATGCTTGTGAATGGTTGGTGCAAGTGATGAATGGGTGGTGCATGCATCCCCCATTTGAATCCCCCATGTGCATCCCCCATGTGCATCCCCCATATGCATCCCCCATGTGCATGCCCCATGTGCATGCCCCATGTGCATGCCCCATGTGCATGCCCCATGTGCATGCCCCATGTGCATGCCCCATGTGCATGCCCAATGTGCATGCCCCATGCGCATCCCCCATGTGCATCCCCCATGCGCATCCCCCATTTGAATCCCCCATGTGCACCCCCATGTGCATGCCCCATGTGCACCCCCATGTGCATGCCCCATGCTCCATACGTCTTTGATCATTTCTCCCTGTTCCTCTCTATGCCCTCTGCCTCCTATTCTTCCCTTCTGTCCCCTTTGCCCACTCTATTACCCTCTTCCTTCGTGCCAGTGCCTGCCCGGTGATCATAGTCAAGGCAAAGGAGCCCAACCCCAATGCCTAGCTCGCTGTTTGATCCCTGTCCCCACTGCCCTATCTGCTCCCTCTGCCTCCTCTGCCCCTCTGCCCCTTCTCCCCTCATAACAGTGCCTGCCCGGTGATCATAGTCAAGGCAAAGGAGCCCAAGCCCAATGCCTAGCTCGCTGTTTCAACCCAAGCCCAATGCTCCGCTTAATTGTTGACCTTTGGTTCTTCCGTGCTACAGCTGGATTGGTGCATAACGTACAATTAACATACAGTACATGTATCTACTCGTTATACACATCACCAGCTCCTTTATAGCTTCATTCATTCAATGTGTCTTGCCAAATCGTTGTCTTCAATGTGGGCATATATGATGCACAGTATGAGCTACAACTAACACTGTTACCACTCCGATAATATTTGGGTTTTTGGTGATTCAGAAATAAGTTCTATGTTAGCCAGGCTCAATATACATAAGTCAATCACTATCACTACTGGCATTGTCATCCCCAGTATTATCTGACTCAGTAGCATAATCAAGATCATACATCCCCTCTTCTGGACACACGTCTTCTAAAAAGCTAAGAGCCCGCAACAGCAGTTGCTTAGCTGAAAGTCGGAACTTAATAGCCTGAACCTTTTCCTCTGGAAGCTGCAAGACAGGAACCCCACATGTCCCTTCACTTCCCCTCACATCTTCTTCCCTCCTCCTGCTGCTACCACCCCTGTTGCCTCCCCTTCCACTGTTTCCCATTTCACACGATGCATCCTCTACAAGCGTCTTCTTTAGCAGGTTATAATCCTCTGTGAACGTGCTCTTGAATCCGCGCAGTGTAGCGCGCACAACGTTACGTAACACGTCAGCAGCTCTTATAATGGAGCCTGCAAGCATTGCTGAGCGTGCAGCTGTCTCCACTGCCTTACTGTGTGGTCTGTCTTTACCACTACCCTCCCCTGCCCCTGTTGCTTCCTTCCCTCCTTCTACTCCCTCCCCTCCTTCTACTCCCTCCCCTCCTGCTGCGCCCTCCGCTCCTGCTGCTTCTAAGACGGCCAGGTGATACGTCTGCTGTTGCTTGAGAGTGCCACAGGTGACCCCGTCTCGAAACACAAAGCGCAGAATGGTTTCGGCCAGGGCTTGGAAGTCAAAGGTAGGGCCTGGGGAAGTGGAGGGAGGAGGGAGAGAAGGGAGCACAAGAGGATTCAGGGTCTGTTGCTTGAGAGTGCCACAGGTGACCCCGTCTCGAAACACAAGGCGCAGAATGGTCTCGGATAAGACATGGAAATCAAACGCAGGGTCTGAAGGGGTGGAGGGAAGAGAGGGGGAAGGGAGCAAAGAAGAATCACGGATTGTTTCAGCGTACTGCCACAGGTGACACCGTCTCGAAACACAAGGCGCAGAATGGACTCGGCTAAGGCATGGAAGTCAAAGGCAGGGTCTGAAGGGGCGGCGGGGAAGGAGAGGGACGGGACAGAGGGGTGAGTTGAAACGAGAAAGTGGGGTGTCTTGTGCTGCTTGCTGCTTGAGGGTGCATCCGGTGACCCTGTTCGAAACACTAAGCACAGAATGGTCCTGGCTAAAGCACGGAAGTCAACGGCAGGGTCTGAAGGGGCCGGCGGGGAAGGGGAGGGGGTGACGTGACAGAGGGGAGTGCTCGAAAGATAAGGTGGTGTATTCGACTTTTGAGGCGCCTCAAAAGAGTGCTCGAAAGATAAGGTGGTGTATTCGACTTTTGAGGCGCCTCAAAAGAGTGCTAGAAAGATAAGGTGGTGTATTCGACTTTTGAGGCGCCTCAAAAGAGTGCTAGAGAGATAAGGTGGTGTATGCGCTGCTGCTTGAGCGTGCTACAGCCTGCACTGCACGTGACATGCCATGCCTGCAGCCCAGAGCAGCCATAGCAGCCTGCATTTTTGAGACGTCTCAAAAGCCGGCTGCAACCTTGCACGTGACATGACATGCCCAGAGCAGCCATAGCAGCCTGCTGCATGCTAGACGAAGTCACTTTTGAGAATTCTCAAAAGCGACTCCCACAGAGCAGCCTGCATGCTAGAGCCTTCACTCGCCATGTGAAGTCATGCCAATGGCAGCCAGAGCAGCCAGTGACCGTGCATCCACATACCCCTCCCTGCCTATCAGAGTAAGTTACAGCTAACAAGGTCAAGTGACTTTTCACTCACCATGTGTTGGCATGCCGATCACAGCCAGAGCAGCTAGCAGCCGTGCATCCACATACCCCTCCCTGCCTATTGCTAGTGCTTCCGAACCTGCCACCGCCCCTGCTGCCATGCCTAGCAGCTGCCGATCCAAGTCGTGCTCGGCTGTGTAGTCCGCCTGCCGAGCCTCCACGGCAGCTATGGCGGCGGTCACCGAAGCTGCGGCTGAGTCTCGGTCAAACGAACCAGTCAGCCACGGGTATTTCTCAGTATAGCCTGATTCATTATCATTATCACTTCCAGCTATAGTACCAGCATCAGAACCTGCTGTTGCTGCTGCTGCCCCTCCTCCTCCTCCTCCTTCTCCTCCTCCCTCCGTCCCTTCTGCTTCCTTTTCTAATGATGTGTCTTTTTCTCGCATTGATCCTCCTGACGTGGCAGCAAGATATTTCGTCTCGTAGTAGTCAAGAAGTGCATCGGCGTTTTCGAAAAGGACGAATCGGTCGAACGGGTTGTTGGGCGGCACGAAGCCGTACAGCAGCAGGAACTGGGCGGTGTCCATGGACCCATAGCCCACGCTGATTGGCTGGCCTGGCGAGATGACGTCAGCAGCAAAGATGTTGATGTCGGCAGTGGAGGAGTGGATAGTGGGCTGACGTGGCGAAAGGGATAGGGGGGGGGGGAAAGGAGGAAGTAGTTAGAAGAGGAGGAGAGGGCGGTTTACAAGAGAGGAATAGTATCAGCCATTGATGGTAGTAGACAGAAGGGAGAGGGAGTGAAAGGAGGAAGGAGGGAGAGTAAGCGGGAGGGGATATGGCAGTTGGCCAGGCAGGTAAGGTCGTGTCTGAGTGACTACCAAGAGAACTCTTTCACCTGCAAATCTTTCTCAGTGCTCGAACCTGCCTGAACCTGCCTGAACCTGCCTGAACCTGCCTGAACCTGCCTGAACCTGCACATGACTGCCTGTACCTGCTTGAACCAGGCCATACCTGCCCGTACCCATCGGCAGCTGCCAGTCTGCCGTGTAGTAGAACTCGTGGTTGAAGAGATTCGGGAGGGGTTGCTCACCCACCTGAACCTGTAAGCACCTGCATGTACCCATCCGCACCTGCCAGTCTGCCATGTAGTAGAACTCGTGGTTGAAGAGATCCACCAGCGGCAGCAGCATGTGCACCTCCTCCCCCTTACCTCACAGCATGCTCACCCACCTGAACCTCACAGTACCTGCTTGAACCTTCCAGAACCTGCCCGTACCTGCCAGTCTGCCGTGTAGTAGAACTCGTGGTTGAAGAGATCTAGTAACGGCAGCAGCATGTGCACCTCCTCCCCTTCCGCCCCCTCCCCTCCCTCCCCCTCTCCCTCCTCATCCTCCCTCTCCGCCTCCTCCTCCATATACTGCCAAAACTCCTCCTCATCCTCCTCCTCCTGCTCTCCCTTCCCTCCTCCCCCCCTCCTTTTCCTCCTCCCCCTTTTCCCCCTTCTCTTCAAACCAACGGCCGAGATCGGCACGGATCGCGACCACACGATCGCAACCGCCCATTTGAATTCATCCATAGAAGCACCCGCGATACTCTCATCAGAACAAAGAGAAAACGCCTCCTCAACATACCTAACCGCCTCCTCTATTCTCTCTATAGCCTCCCCACTATCTAACTCCCCCAGCGTCCCCTCATCCCAGAAAATCGGCAGCGGCACATACCCCGGCAGGAGATTAATCCACGGGGAGTAAAAAGACTCCTTACCCTTCCTCCACTCTCTTAATAACCATGCGGCTACAGTCACATCGTCCCCAGCGTTCTTGTAAGGGGCGGGCGGGGGAGAGGCGGGGCGGGAGAGGCGGAAATCCCACCCCCCGTGCAGTCGGGAGAGCCAGAGGGGGAAGGGGATGGAGGCGAGGGGGGAGCCAGCGGGGGTGGTGGCGGAAGCTAGGATGCCCAGGGGGAGGCGCGGGGGGAGCGGGGGGGAGGGCGGCACGCAGGAGTAGAAGGCGGGGGAGGAAATGGCTAGGACCTGAGGGAGAGGTGGTGGTGGGGAGAAGTCCGGGGAAAGGGGGAGAGAGGAGGGGGAGTGGGGAGGGGGACGGGGGGAAAGGAACAGGATATTGAATTCAATAAAGGAGCATGGAAGTGAAAAGAAGAACTAAATAAAACGGATAGTTTGTTGCTAACAGAATTGATAGCAATCACCTGGATCTTTGATCGTACACCCCCTTCCACCGATTGGTCCCCGTGCTTCTCCATCCACGTCAGCAAATCCTCCACCAGTCGCGCCTCCCTCTGTGGCAGAGGCACCATCGCGGAACCTTCCCTCTCATACGCGAATATGCTGCTCAGATCGAAATCTGTATCTATATCCGGCATCGAATCCCAATCTGATCCCGAACCGTGATCTGATTCATTATCATAATTCTCATCATCATCACCATCATCCTCTGTACCAAACTGCCCATCGACATCTTCAATCTCTTCCTCCTCCCCATGGTCTTCCTCATCTTCATGATCTTCCTCAGTCTCATCCTCATCCTCATCCTCATTGGCAGAATCATCCCAACCTTCTGTGTAATCCGTGCCCTCATCCACGTCAGCGCCAACCACGTCATCATCCACGTCAGACTCGCCATCATCCGCGTCATCCCAGCCCTCCAAATCAACGTCCTCGTCAAAAGGAGACTCGCTATCGTGCTCTTCAACATCTCCATCCTCCTCGGGTACATGCTCCAGTGCATCGTCTAATAACCCATCATCAATGCCACTCATCACATTACCATCATTATGAGCATTATCATCATAATCCTCATTCTCACCATTATCCTCAGTATCATCACTTCCTTCAATACCATGGTTAAAGTTACCCTCAGATATTAAGTGATTAACACCACTACCATCACCATCAACAACTTCTGGATTACTTCCCGCATCGCCTACGTGCTCAAACCCACGTTCCCCGAGACGCGTTTGAGAAACATCTAAGTCGCTTCTCTCGCTGCTCGCGCTGCTCTCGCTGCTGCCTCTGCTGCCGCGCCTGCTTTCGCTATTATCACTTTCGCCTAGCGTGGTCCGAGCTGTCGCGAGCAAGACGATGGCGACGGCGAGGAGGAGAGCTCGGATAGACCGGCGAATGCCACGTGGCAGTGAGGTCGAAGGTTTGTAAAACGACTCGATTGCGCCGCCCGACGATCTCACACGACGGCCGAGCGGCCAGCTCACGCCATCATCGTCGGCAACTGCGGGCCGTGGCATCGCTGCTTCCGCCGTATGACCAGGCGTGGCGGAGCAGTCTTATGAGGCGAGTTGATTCGCAGTCGTATGACGCGCCGCGCGCTTACATATCCCTTAGGATCTGCTGAGAAGCAGAAACTGCTGCGCGTGTACCGGAGTGAGTGCCTGCGAATGTGTAATTGCTACTCATTACTAAGAGGACCAGCAGCCGCTATGCGAGTTCACGTATCAAAAGCTACCGCTACGAGTACCTATGCGGTTACCTCCGCGGCGACTAGCTCTGACACGCTGCCGTCACGATCAGCTCAAATGCGCGCGACCGGAAACAAGATGGTATTTTCAGAAATCTTTGGCGAGCTGTGATTGGTGCAAATCTCCGCCAGATCGCCAAAAAATTTTGGACCATTTCTCGATATGTGCGTGTCATCCTTGCGCAGGGGCCATGCTAATCTTCTCTGTATCGTTCCAATTTTAACGGATGTCCCGAATCGCACTAGTCATATGTAATTATAGATATAATCGATTTTTGTTTCACAATGCATGCTGGGTCAATTGTGACATTCGCATCACAACCCGAAACTGTTTTTTTTTTCCTTGGCTCTTCAGGACGAATGCCGAAATTCTCAAATGCCGTTTGAATCTTGCCGATTCTTCCTCCTAAGTACGAAGCGCATCCCAAACGCAGAACCAGATGATCGTGCTGCAGGTCGATGACAGGCAGATTCTCGCTTCGCCAATTAGACCCTTTCCTTTCGTTATGTCACTCTCGAAAAGAGTGAGCCACGTTAGAAGTTTTTCGTATCAGGCAGAACTCGGCGGGTTGTGCATTGGGCCAATCAGCACGCTGCTGCTTCGATAGAAAACTTTTGCCTCTTCAGGTCTACGAGTTTCTCGATCTTCATAGTCGTTAACCCGCGGCTTTTTTTCCTCCTCGCGTTCCGCCATGGCCTTACCAATTCCTGAGAAAATTCGTGCCAGTCTTTCTCGCGTCGCGGTTGCATTCTCGTCCGGCGCGATCGGCGGGCTGTGCATCGGGTTAGCTGTGCCGCTGCTCGCGGCGGCGGGACTCATGGACGTTCTCGGCATCGCGATTCACCCGCAACTAACGCCGCCGTTCGTGTACCAGAAGGTCGTGTGGGGCGGCATCTGGTGCGTCAAGTCATTACCCGTCCGCGGTCTCCATGCTTTCATCCATGCTCCCCATGCATGCCCTCGTCCATGCCTCCTTCTCTCCGATGCGCTACTGTTGGAGGTTGCTCCTCCACAACAGCTACCACAGAATCGCTCTTCCCTTTTCCCCTCCCTTGCTCACACGAACGCAATGAGTCCTATCGCACGTGCCCCTCGTACTACTCTTGCGGTCGTTCTGTCTTCCCCGCTCTCCGAAACAACCGCATCTGTTGCATCAATAGAACTCTTTCAAAGACGCACGAAACATACACGCTCTAGGATTCCCCCTCTCTTTCTCTCTCTCTCTTTTATGTTGGCACCCTTTCTTGTGGTGGCTCTCTCCTGGCCGGTATTTGAGGCGCCTCAAAAGAAATCTCACAGCACTCTGGTCTTCTTGTGAAACCATCAAAAGATATGTCAAGGCAAGGAAAACACCCATCTCTTCTGCTGGTTCTGTCCTCCGCCCGCTCACTCGTTTTTTGAGGCGCCTCAAAAGCTGAGACGATTTTTTAGGCGCCTCAAAAGCTGAGACGATTTTTTAGGCGCCTCAAAAAGATATGTCAAGGCAAGGCAAACCCCAAACCCCCATCTCTTCTGGTGGTTCTGTCCTCCGCCCGCTCACCTGTTGCTTCAGGGGTTTCATCCTGCTCATTCCCTTCAACACAAGCACGCTCGTCAGAGGAGCACTCTTTGGTACGCCTGCTTTTCTAGCATCCGTTTGTCACCTCTGAGCTTCTTAGAGTGATCAAGAAAATAATGGAAGTAATTTTCTTTGCCTCTTTTGAATCTTGGCGTGCCTTCACCATGCATGCACGCACCTGTCCATCCCGTCCCATTCCTCCCTCTGTTCTCACTCCTCCTTGCCTCTCCAACCTCCCCTGTCCCTCCGCCCTCCACCTTGTGTCCACCGCAACTGCAGGGGCGTTGGGTCCAGGCCTGGTGCAGCTCCTGGTTGTATTCCCGCTCAAAGAAACGGTAAGTGTTAATCTATGGGCGTAGAGGTGCCTCAAAAGCGCCGGCAAAAGGCAGCTGCAAGGGCGTTGGGCGTTGGGTCCAGGCCTGGTGCAGCTCCTGGTTGTATTCCCGCTAAAAGAAACGGCAAGTGTTGGATTATGGGCGCTGAGGTGCCTCAAAGACACCTTTTTTTACCTTTTTGTCGAATTGATAGGCAGCTGCAAGGTCGTTGGGGCCTGGGCTGGTGCAGCCCCTGGTGACTTTTGAGTCGACTCAAAAGTCACCTCGTTACCGTGGGCTGGTGCAGCCCCTGGTGACTTTTGAGTCGACTCAAAAGTCACCTCGTTACCGTGGGCTGGTGCAGCCCCTGGTGACTTTTGAGTCGACTCAAAAGTCACCTCGTTACCGTGGGCTGGTGCAGCCCCTGGTGACTTTTGAGTCGACTCAAAAGTCACCTCGTTACCGTGGGCTGGTGCAGCCCCTGGTGACTTTTGAGTCGACTCAAAAGTCACCTCGTTACCGTGGGCTGGTGCAGCCCCTGGTGACTTTTGAGTCGACTCAAAAGTCACCTCGTTACCGTGGGCTGGTGCAGACCCTGGTTGTATTCCTTCTTAAAGAAACCGTAAGTGTGTCGTGCCTCTCTAGGTGCCTCAAAAGCTCCGCCTTGTGTTCCCGCTTCAAGAGACTTCAACGAATAGAAGGCGGATAATGAGGACCTTTTCGTTGTTTTTCCAGTGAAAGAAAAGAAGCGTGTGTTGCTCTGTTTAATGTGCATGCGTGCATGTTCTTAGCAAAACACGAACTGAATACTCTATACTCCACTTTCCATTCCCCACCCATGCGCGCATGCCCGCATGCCTTTCCCTTCCCCACCCATGCGCAGCCAGGGTCCCTCGCCGGTCTGTCTCTCGGCCCGCTCACGCCTCTCCTCGTTCTTCTCCTCAATGCATTCGTCTGGGGCGTGCCCTCTGCCCTCGCCTACGCCCTGCTTCGACCCCCCTCCCCACAGTCCTTTGTCGGGTAATCTCACCCCTTTCCGTGATACTACCATTGAGGCGCTTCTTAGGTCACTTCTGAAAGTTCTCGAAGCGTCTGCCCTTGCCTACGCCCTGCTCGACCCCCCTCCCCACAATCCTTTGTCGGGTGATCTCTCCCGCCCTTGACCCCTTATAAGTGCCTCAAAGCAGTGAGGTGTATTTTGAGGCGCCTCAAAATGGACCCCCCTCCCCACAGTCCTTTGTGTGATAACCTCTCCCGCCCTTGACTCCTTGGAAGTGCCTCAAAGGTCCGCCCCCTCCTGTGCCCTGCTCCCCACAGTGACGGGTGCGAGTCAGTTAAAAAGCCATGGGGGTACTTTAAAGGCCCGCCCCCCTCATGCCCTGCTCCCCGGTCCTTTGTCATCTAGCCACTTTTCCCCCGTGTTCATTCCTCACTCCATCTTTCCCTGCTGCTCTCCATCTGTCTTCCCACCTCTCTCCATCTCCCCCTGCCTCTCCCCATGTGTCCCCCTGCCACTCCCCATGTGTCCACGTGCCTCTCTCCTTTTCCCCCACTCCGCATGTGTCTCTCTTCCTACTTCCTTCCTATCCTGCCACTCTCCCCACGTGTCACCCTGCCTCGTATGTCTTACTTTCCGTCCACTCCCTGTGTTTCCTTCTGTCCCTCCTTCCCCACGTTTCGCCCTGCCCTTCCATTATGGCATCACTAGCATAAGGGCTCTAGGAGAGAGTGACCCAGACCTTGAGTTACATGGGGAGAAATTTTCATGAGACTATAAGCAGCTCACTGACAAATAACTATATTCTCTGATGGAAGCCTATATAACAGCATATTAAATACCCCTGTGCTCAAAAGCACTAAATCACATCCTCTCGGTACGTTCAATATATACTTATTGAGACTAACGCCTAAAATATAAGTATACTTAGCAAATTGGAATAACTGTTCAGATTTCCTCGGAAACGTTCTCAACCGATATCACCGAACAGAAGTGAACAAGTCGCAAGACACACAACCAATAATTTTCTTTCGCATAGGCTAAACCCTGAACTCCTCGGTATCGTTCTGAACCGACCTTACTGAACAGAAATGAAATCCCAATCTCAAGGTCCGCCACCTTCGATGTTGTCTTCAAATTGGAGTTGGCCGACTCCCCCAACTGACCCCATTCCGTGGCTCCCAAGGGACGGGATTGGCTTGCGAGTGATTTGGAACTCCCAGGGTTGAAGACAGACCGCCATTATTCTTGTGTCAGACGCCTGTTGTAGCTCGTATTTCCTGAGTCCACTCCGAGTAATAATCGTCCAGCCCAGGCGTCAGTCTGAGTAAGGGCGGCCGCGCGTCCGTGACGGAAGCGTTCTTCTGTTGCAGCGATTATTGTTACGTAACCGCCACGCTTCGAGTCGCGACGTTATGGGTGTTTCTACGATGAAACCGCCACTCACGGCGAGTCCGCTGCACCCGTCCGTGTCATACTATATAGCAGATCCTTGCCCCGTCACTTCTCACCAGACGCCATCACTCGAACCATTTCAGCTCAACCATTTCTCAGTCTCCGCATTTCAACTCAACCATCCCAGCAGCAGCCTCACCTCTCTCCCCGCCGATCTTCACCGATCAGCACCGATTCTCCTACGGCATTCTGATCTAGCCACTCGTTGATTCTCAGAGGCGAATCTCAACCATCCGTTCGGCGCATCGTAAGCCGTCGCCCACGGTCACTCTCCTCTCCCTGATCATCGCCTTGCAAGTCGGCTTAACTCGGCCGATCATGGCGATTATACTACCGTCGCTGCCGCGGTCTCCCCTCCTCCTCCTCGTGCTCGCGCTGGTGCTGCTCTCGTCGGCGCACCTCCCCCGCCGCGCGCGCGCAGAGGATACGTGCTCCGCCTCCGCGCCGTGCGCCAACAACCTCTGCTGCAGCAAGTGGGGCTGGTGTGGCTCCACCGTCGATCACTGCGGCGCAGGCTGCCAGTCCGGGCCCTGCGCGGAAAGCACCTCCGCCTCTCCCCCTTCCCCGCAGAGCAGCTCCCCGGCTCCCGCGCCCAGCTCCCCCCCGTTTCCACCTCCGTCCGGTTCCCCTCCGCCCGTGTCTGATTCTCCTCCTCCCCCATCCCCCTCCCCTTCTCCGCCTTCCGCTTCTCCGCCGGCCCCGTCCGCCTCACCTCCGCCCCCTACCGGCTTCACTCCCCCCCCAACGGGCTCCGCGCCCCCCCCAACCGGTTCCGCTCCCCCCCCAACCAGCTCCGCTCCCCCCCCAACCGGCTCCCCTCCCCCATCTACTGGGCTGCAGCGCATGGCGTATTTTCCCATCGAGGCGGGCATGGACCCATCCCTCATCCCTGCTGCCAACCTCACGCATGTCTTCTACTCCCGTGCTTCCGTCGACCCCACCACATACAAGGTATGGCACCACACACAAGGCACAGGAGGTGTGAGTGCGTATGCCATGCTCTATCGGGTCATCTGCTCCAAATAACTCTTCGTTTTCACATTCGCGGTAGTGGATTTTTGGATGCTTCGCTTTTCCTACCGTCTCCCCTCAACAGTGCGTCCCTTCCAACCCAGCAGTGGACGTCACCCAGGGTCTCTGCCTTCAATGCCGCCACCCCTTTTCACCCCTTTTCACCCCTTTTCACCCCGGACCCTTACCTTTTCTCCCTTCACCTCTCAACAGGTCGTCCCCTACATCCCAGCAATTGACGTCAACGAGGGCCTCTATCTGCGCTTCAACTCCGCTCTAAAGACCGCCAACCCCGCCATTAAAACCCTCCTTTCGATCGGCGGCTATCTCACATTCACCATTGATTTCGAAAACGTCACCTCCTCCCCGTCCTCCCGCTCTGCCTTCATCCAATCCGCGATCGCCCTCGCTCGCACGTACAACTTTGACGGTCTGGATCTTGACTGGAAGATCCCAACAGGCAACACCACCCTCTTTTCCACCCTGCTCACGGAGTTCCGGGCGGCGATCGAATCCGAAGCCGCCGCTTCCGGGAAATCGAAGCTTCTGCTTTCTGCGGTGGTTTCTGCATACGAGCCAAATATCACTCGGCCCTACGATGTCCCGACGCTTAACAAAACACTGGACTTTGTTAATGTTCAGACTTTCGATTTTATGTGGTCTTGGAAGTCCCCCACGACCGGCATGCACACTGCTCTTGAGGACGTGAGCAACCCTCGGCTGAGCATCAAGGGCGCTATGGCTTCCTGGGTGTCTCGAGGCTTGGCCCGGAGCAAGGCCATGGTGGGCCTGGCGATGTACGGCCACACCTGGACGCTTGCCTCAACAAACAGCACTGGGGTTGGAGCTCCAGCCACTGGGGCTGGTCAGGTTAGCTCTCTTCTTTCATTTTTTCTTCTCTCATTTTTCTCCTCTGCTTTATGCTTCTCTCCCTCTCTCACATTGTCACAGCCTTTTGTGATTCTTTTATTTCCTTCCTTGCACACTTTCAGAGTGCCATTTATAGCTTACTTATGGCGTCTTTGCAAGCAGCTTCAACCAACCTCTCATCACTTTCTCCCTTGACCTGCATACTCCCCCTCCACCCCACCAACAGGAGGGTAGTATCCTCTTCTACAAGGAAATCAATCAGATGGTAACCACAGGAGGTTACACAGCTACGCTCGACGCCCCAACATCCTCTATGTATGCGGTGAAAGGTGACCAGTGGGTTTGTTACGACGACCCTTCCACCATCACCACCAAGGTTCAGTTTGCCAAGACGCAAGGCTATGGAGGGTGGTTCGTCCGGGCACTGGGCCAGGATGCCAATAATGCTCTGCTCAATGCTGCAGTAGCTGCCTCGTGATTTGAACCCAACAGTCAGACAGCATGAGAAGAGTATAGACGAGCCTTATGCTTGTTAGTCATTCAGCATGAGAAAAGTTGTTTGTTGTTAGGAGGTGGATGTGTCAGTGTTTTATGCGAGCTATTACCGTACATGCAGCCACTTTCATATGCTCATGTCTTCATTCCTGTCAATGTCAGGATGGAGCCAGGATGCCTACAGTGCTCTGCTCAATGCTGCAGCCGCTGCATGAGATGAAACTTAGGTAAATAGTCTCGAAATAGAATGTTCCACTAGTTCATCTGTCTGAATTGTAGACAAGTTGATGAGGAGCTGTTGTATCAGATGAAGCTGGTTCTCAAGAGCCCGTGTTCCGATTGTCCAAATTCATGCCAATCTCGGAAAAAGAGGTGATGTCTGCGCGACACGCACCGCCACTCGTGGTGGTACCGTTACCGGTAACTCGACTCACACACACCACCACTCTGCCCCCATGCACAGTGCAGCAACCCCTCCCTCCTCCCAGTAACACAACCCTCCCGACCGCCGTCTCCTCCCCAGTAGCTACCAGGCGCACCCACTCATCTGCCACCACCGGGCTGTGTGGAGCAGGCAGACAACGCCACACAGGGGGCACACACACACACACACACACCCCGTAGCCCATGCAGCAGTGGCTCGGCTGGACTCACACCACTCTGCCTCCGTGCACACACAGTGCAGCAGTCACTCTCCCTCCCAGTCACACCACTCTGCCGCCCGCCATCTCCTCCCCCGTTGCTGCTAGCTGCGCCCACCTGCCGCCCGCCGCCGCCCCTGCTGAGGTGGCGGAGTCCCGCAGACTGCCGTCCGCCTCGAGCTTCGCCTGCACCTGCCTCGCCATGAGGGCCAGGCCTGGGGGGGACAGGGCACACGATGAGAAAGGGCAGATAAGGGCAGAAAAGGGGCAGAAAAAGGGCATGTGGAGACTTGTATACAGACTGCCGTCCGCCTCGAGCTTCGCCTGCACCTGCCTCGCCATGAGGGCCAGGCCTGTGGGGGACAGGGCACACGATGGAAAGGGCAAAGAGGGACAGTTCACCTCGAGCTTCGCCCGCACCTGCCTCGCCATCAGGGCCAGCCCTGGCATACAAGAAACATGGAAACACCACACCACACCACACCACACCATACAGTTGATTGGAGCACAGCTAAAAAGTATGGTAGCGTGTGTCAGTGGCTTGGAGTGGAGATTGCAGCTGGCTGGCAAAGTCACAGAGACTGCCGTCTGCCTCGAGCTTCGCCTGCACCTGCTTCGCCACACTCCCGCATTCCTACACTCTACCCACAATCACACCCACACCCACACCAACACCCGCACCCACACCCACACCCACACCCACACCCACACCAACACCCGCACCCACACCCACACCCACACCCACACCCACACCCACACCCACACCCACACCCACACCCACACCCACACCCACACCCACACCCGCACCCACACCCACAACCAACTCACCCTGCACCATGCGGCTGATAGCCGTCCACTACTCTTCCACTCAATGCATGATAGAAGCTTATCCTCTCACCCACTCATCCACTCATCCACTCACCCACTCACCCACTCACACTCACCCACTCATCCACGCCCACTCCCAACCCCCCCCACCCCTCCACACCCCCATGCATTCACTCACCCTGCACCACGCGGCTGACAACCGTCCACCACTTGTCTTCCGACAGCTGTCGCCTCGTCAGCGCTGACGATATCTCCTCGCTGCGCTGCCCCGACAGCACTGCCTGCAGCACCTGGCTGGCATCCCTTGTCTCTTCTAGCACACCTCTCTGCAGTGGCGAGATGAAGCGAGGAGAGACAAGGAAGATCAGGAGACACATGAAAGTTTGTTACCAGATGTCTCAACATGGAAAACGGAGAAAGAAGAGAGGAGGTCAGGAGGATGGAAATGGAAAAATGGCCTGTCCTTTGTGTGTGTGTGTGTGTGTGTGTGTGTGTGTGTGTGTGTGTGTGTGTGTGTGTGTGTGTGTGTGTGTGTGTGTGTGTGCGTGTGTGTTATTTTGTGATTGTAAGAACACTCTCTATGAAATATGAGGTCACTCAAGCCATATGTGATGGAGGAGAATGAAGCACTTGGGGAGCAGCTCAAGAACAGGAGGAATGGTAGATTGAGGGTTGCCACAGCAACGTTTTTTTTGCGGATTACCTGGTAGATGTTGGCTTGCCAATCGTGTGGCGAACTGGCTGTATATTGAGTTGACTCCAAACACGCTTAGGAACAGGAGGACCCGTTGATCATGGATTGTCTGGTGCATGGATTGCCAATGGTGTGGCCAGCGGGCTGTACCTGGAAGGTTGGCGGCTGTGTGACGGCCACAAGTGCGCCGTTCTCTCCTTCCTCCCCCTCGCTGTCGTTGCACATTGCCTGCACACAACTCACAGGGCGAATCAGAGTTATTAGAGAACCGATGTTAGGGTGCCTTGTGTCCTTCTTCCTGTCCTTCCTCTCGCTGTCGCTGCACATGGCCTGCACACGCATACCTAAAGAGAGAGGGGAGAGGGGGCGAGGGAGGGAGATTGAGTAAAGAGATGAAGGGCCTAAAAAATGAGGTGCGCACCTCTTCATCTCCCCCATCTCCCCGCCTTGCTGCCAATGCACACGGCAGCAGCACATGCAAGTCCATGCAAGCTCCAACCAGTCATGGTGTCAATCAGTCATGGCGTGACGACTGTCAGTCACCTAAGATTTGCACGACGGTCATAGCACGCACCTGCGAGTCCCTATGGGACGAGGTGAGAGTGAGAGTCGGAGAGCCCACTGGGCGTCAATGGCCCACCGCCACTTGGCTTTTGAGTCAACTCAAAAGGCGGCAGTGGCCCACCGCCACTCTCAGACTGCAACCCACAGCACCTCTAGAGCACCCACCTGCAGGTCCCTCTGGGAAGACGTGAGTGTGAGAGCGAGAGCCCACTGGGCGGCAGTGGCCCACCGCCACTTGGCCGCCTCGCGCGCCATCTGCTTCTCCTGTGCCGCCGCCCGGCCGGCAAGCTCGTCTGCTAGCGCCACCCCCCCCAGCGCCACACTGCGCAGATACTTGGCGGTCTGCGGCCCCGTGCTGCGCACCATTGCTGCAAACACACTGTTTTCAATACCAGGTTGGTGGGAGTGTCGTACTCCAGGGCCTGAGAGGGAAGTGGGAGGGATGAGGAGAGGTAAGGGGGAGTTGGAGGAAGAGCAGGTACTTGGCGGTCTGAGGGCCCGTGCTGCGCACCATCACTGCGAACACACTGGCCTCGTTTAGGACTAGGTTGGCTGGAGTGTCGTACTCAAGTGCCTGGGTGGGATGAAGAAGAGGAGAAGCGTGTGAGTACTTGGCAGTCTGTAGCCCCGTTGCTGCACACCATGGCTGCGAACACACTGCCTTCGTTCAACACCAGGTTGGCTGGCGTGTCGTACTCCAGTGCCTGGACGAGGAAATGGAGGGAGGGAATGGTCGAAATGGTGAGGTGGAGGTAGGGAGTTGACTTTTGAGTCGACTCAAAACTGGTGAGGTGGAGGTAGGGAGTTGACTTTTGAGTCGACTCAAAACTGGTGAGGTGGAGATAGGGAGTTGACTTTAGAGTCAACTCAAAAGTGGTGAGGTGGAGGTAGGGAGTTGACTTTTGAGTCGACTCAAAACTGGTGAGGTGGAGATAGGGAGTCGAGTTTTGAGTCGAGTCAAAACTGGTGAGGTGGAGGTAGGGAGTTGACTATTGAGTCGACTCAAAACTGGTGAGGTGGAGATAGGGAGTTGACTTTAGAGTCGACTCAAAACTGGTGAGGTGGAGGTAGGGAGTTGACTTTTGAGTCGACTCAAAAGTGGTGAGGTGGAGGTAGGGAGTTGACTTTTGAGTCGACTCAAAACTGGTGAGGTGGAGATAGGGAGTTGAGTTTTGAGTCGAGTCAAAACTGGTGAGGTGGAGGTAGGGAGTTGACTATTGAGTCGACTCAAAACTGGTGAGGTGGAGATAGGGAGTTGACTTTAGAGTCGACTCAAAACTGGTGAGGTGGAGGTAGGGAGTTGACTTTTGAGTCGACTCAAAACTGGTGAGGTGGAGGTAGGGAGTTGACTTTTGAGTCGACTCAAAACTGGTGAGGTGGAGATAGGGAGTTGACTTTAGAGTCGACTCAAAACTGGTGAGGTGGAGATAGGGAGTTGAGTTTTGAGTCGAGTCAAAACTGGTGAGGTGGAGATAGGGAGTTGACTATTGAGTCGACTCAAAACTGGTGAGGTGGAGATAGGGAGTTGACTTTAGAGTCGACTCAAAACTGGTGAGGTGGAGGTAGGGAGTTGACTTTTGAGTCGACTCAAAACTGGTGAGGTGGAGATAGGGAGTTGACTTTAGAGTCAACTCAAAAGTGGTGAGGTGGAGGTAGGGAGTTGACTTTTGAGTCGACTCAAAACTGGTGAGGTGGAGATAGGGAGTCGAGTTTTGAGTCGAGTCAAAACTGGTGAGGTGGAGGTAGGGAGTTGACTATTGAGTCGACTCAAAACTGGTGAGGTGGAGATAGGGAGTTGACTTTAGAGTCGACTCAAAACTGGTGAGGTGGAGGTAGGGAGTTGACTTTTGAGTCGACTCAAAACTGGTGAGGTGGAGGTAGGGAGTTGACTTTTGAGTCGACTCAAAACTGGTGAGGTGGAGATAGGGAGTTGACTTTAGAGTCAACTCAAAAGTGGTGAGGTGGAGGTAGGGAGTTGACTTTTGAGTCGACTCAAAACTGGTGAGGTGGAGATAGGGAGTTGAGTTTTGAGTCGAGTCAAAACTGGTGAGGTGGAGGTAGGGAGTTGACTATTGAGTCGACTCAAAACTGGTGAGGTGGAGATAGGGAGTTGACTTTAGAGTCGACTCAAAACTGGTGAGGTGGAGGTAGGGAGTTGACTTTTGAGTCGACTCAAAACTGGTGAGGTGGAGGTAGGGAGTTGACTTTTGAGTCGACTCAAAACTGGTGAGGTGGAGATAGGGAGTTGACTTTAGAGTCGACTCAAAACTGGTGAGGTGGAGATAGGGAGTTGAGTTTTGAGTCGAGTCAAAACTGGTGAGGTGGAGGTAGGGATTTGACTATTGAGTCGACTCAAAACTGGTGAGGTGGAGATAGGGAGTTGACTTTAGAGTCGACTCAAAACTGGTGAGGTGGAGGTAGGGAGTTGACTTTTGAGTCGACTCAAACTGGTGAGGTGGAGGTAGGGAGTTGACTTTTGAGTCGACTCAAAACTGGTGAGGTGGAGATAGGGAGTTGACTTTAGAGTCGACTCAAAACTGGTGAGGTGGAGGTAGGGAGTTGACTTTTGAGTCGACTCAAAACTGGTGAGGTGGAGGTAGGGAGTTGACTTTTGAGTCGACTCAAAACTGGTGAGGTGGAGATAGGGAGTTGACTTTAGAGTCAACTCAAAAGTGGTGAGGTGGAGGTAGGGAGTTGACTTTTGAGTCGACTCAAAACTGGTGAGGTGGAGATAGGGAGTTGAGTTTTGAGTCGAGTCAAAACTGGTGAGGTGGAGGTAGGGAGTTGACTATTGAGTCGACTCAAAACTGGTGAGGTGGAGATAGGGAGTTGACTTTAGAGTCGACTCAAAACTGGTGAGGTGGAGGTAGGGAGTTGACTTTTGAGTCGACTCAAAACTGGTGAGGTGGAGGTAGGGAGTTGACTTTTGAGTCGACTCAAAACTGGTGAGGTGGAGATAGGGAGTTGACTTTAGAGTCGACTCAAAACTGGTGAGGTGGAGATAGGGAGTTGAGTTTTGAGTCGAGTCAAAACTGGTGAGGTGGAGGTAGGGATTTGACTATTGAGTCGACTCAAAACTGGTGAGGTGGAGATAGGGAGTTGACTTTAGAGTCGACTCAAAACACACTGTTTTCATTCAACACCAGGTTGGCTGGCGTGTCGTACTCAAGGGTCTTAAGGGAGGAAATGAATGAGCAGAGGGGGGGCGAAGGTGGAACAAGAGCAGGTACTCGGGTGTCTGGGCCCCGTGCTCAAGTATGCGATCACTATTACACGACTCAAGGATGGTGCTCAAGTATGCGATCACTGTTACACGACTCAAGGATGGTGCTCAAGTATGCGATCACTGTTACACGACTCAAGGATGGTGCTCAAGTATGCGATCACTGTTACACGATGGTGTTCAGCCAATGAGCAATCGTCAGCATCGTGCGTGCATGTGTGACTTTTGAGTCGAATCAAAAGTCACCTTTTGAGTCGACTCGAGAGTCTGGGCCCCGTGCTCAAGGATGCGATCACTGTTACACGACTCAAGGATGGTGCTCAAGGAGTCGACTCAAGAGTCACCTCATTGTGCATGCATATTTTACCCTTGCTCGCACAACCCCTAGTGGTTACTTCTCACCCGACCAGAATCCTGGCGTATGGTGTTCAGCCGGTGAGCAATGATAGTGCTAGGCCTCACCTTATGAGCTCAAATCCAATTAAATCAGCTCACCATGCCAGCATCCATGACCAGGATCCGGTCGCTATCCATGATGGTGTTGAGCCGGGGGACAAAGTGCGGATGCTAGACAAGAGGTCTCAAACCAATCAGCTTAATATGTCTAGACCACATTCCTCTCTCTCACCATGCGGGCATCCATGACCAGGATCCTGTCGCTATCCATGATGGTGGTGTTGAGGTGGTGAGCGATGGTGGATAGGCGACAAGACGTATCATTATTAAACCAAACTAGCTCACCATGCCAGCATCCATGACCAGGATGCGGTCGCTATCCATGATGGTGTCGAGCCTGTGGGCGATGGTCAGCATGGTGCGCCCCTTGAACTCCTCGCGCACCGTCCGTTGGATCAGCGCATCCGTGCCCACATCAACGGCTGCCGTCGCTTCATCCAGCACCAGAATGCGCGACTCCTTCAGCAGCGCCCGGGCAAGACTGATCAGCTGCCTCTGCCCCACGCTGAAGTTCTCCCCTCCCTCTGCCACCTGCATAACAGTGAGGAGGGGATCAGAGAGTGGGTGTGCAGCGAGGGCAACGCCAGAATGTGCCCGACTCCTTCAGCAGCGCCCGCGCCAGGCTGATCAGCTGCCTCTGCCCCACGCTGAAGTTCTCCCCTCCCTCTGCCACCTGCATGTGTGGCAGGAGAAAGCAGGGGATTATGGGGGTCAGGTCGGACTGGGGGAAGGGCAGCACCAGAATGCGAGACTCCTTGAGCAGCGCCCATGCAAGACTGATCAGATGCCTCTGCCCCACGCTGAAGTTCTCCCCTCCCTCTGCCACCTGCATGTGTGGCAGGAGAAAGCAGGGGATTATGGGGGTCAGGTCGGACTGGGGGAAGGGCAGCACCAGAATGCGAGACTCCTTGAGCAGCGCCCATGCAAGACTGATCAGATGCCTCTGCCCCACGCTGAAGTTCTCCCCTCCCTCTGCCACCTGCATGTGTGGCAGGAGAAAGCAGGGGATTATGGGGGTCAGGTCGGACTGGGGGAAGGGCAGCACCAGAATGCGAGACTCCTTGAGCAGCGCCCATGCAAGACTGATCAGATGCCTCTGCCCCACGCTGAAGTTCTCCCCTCCCTCTGCCACCTGCATGTGTGGCAGGAGAAAGCAGGGGATTATGGGGGTCAGGTCGGACTGGGGGAAGGGCAGCACCAGAATGCGAGACTCCTTGAGCAGCGCCCATGCAAGACTGATCAGATGCCTCTGCCCCACGCTGAAGTTCTCCCCTCCCTCTGCCACCTGCATGTGTGGCAGGAGAAAGCAGGGGATTATGGGGGTCAGGTCGGACTGGGGGAAGGGCAGCACCAGAATGCGAGACTCCTTGAGCAGCGCCCATGCAAGACTGATCAGATGCCTCTGCCCCACGCTGAAGTTCTCCCCTCCCTCTGCCACCTGCATGTGTGGCAGGAGAAAGCAGGGGATTATGGGGGTCAGGTCGGACTGGGGGAAGGGCAGCACCAGAATGCGAGACTCCTTGAGCAGCGCCCATGCAAGACTGATCAGATGCCTCTGCCCCACGCTGAAGTTCTCCCCTCCCTCTCCCACCTGCATGTGTGGCAGGAGAAAGCAGGGGATTATGGGGGTCAGGTCGGACTGGGGGAAGGGCAGCACCAGAATGCGAGACTCCTTGAGCAGCGCCCATGCAAGACTGATCAGATGCCTCTGCCCCACGCTGAAGTTCTCCCCTCCCTCTGCCACCTGCATGTGTGGCAGGAGAAAGCAGGGGATTATGGGGGTCAGGTCGGACTGGGGGAAGGGCAGCACCAGAATGCGAGACTCCTTGAGCAGCGCCCATGCAAGACTGATCAGATGCCTCTGCCCCACGCTGAAGTTCTCCCCTCCCTCTGCCACCTGCATGTGTGGCAGGAGAAAGCAGGGGATTATGGGGGTCAGGTCGGACTGGGGGAAGGGCAGCACCAGAATGCGAGACTCCTTGAGCAGCGCCCATGCAAGACTGATCAGATGCCTCTGCCCCACGCTGAAGTTCTCCCCTCCCTCTGCCACCCGAATGCGAGTGGAGTGAAGTGCGAGAATGATCAGCTCTTGCCATTCTTAGCCCCTCCTTCTTCAGTGCCCGTGCCAGGCTGATCAGCTTGCATCTGCCCCACACTGGATTTTTTTCCTCCCTCTGCCACCTGAATGCGTGGCAGGAGAAAGAAGGGGGAGTATGGGGGTGGGAAGGGGGGAAAGGGCCGCACCAGGATTCTTCGATTTTTTAGTCGACTCATCACACGGAGGCGGAGGGGGGACGAAAGAGGGGTTGGAAGGGGGGAAAGGGCAGCACCAGGATGCTCGACTCCTTCAGGCCCAGCAGCGGCATGCGAGATACCACCTCCCTCAAGTAAGACCTCAGTACTAGCACTCTCTAAGTACAACTGCCTCCCTTTCCCTGCTACTCACCTCCGTGTCCAGCCCCAGCGGCATGCGAGATACCACCTCCCTCAGGTGCGCCCTCCCCAGCGCCTCCCACACCTCGCTGTCACTGCGCTCGCTGAACGGGTCCAGGTTGAACCGCAGCGTGCCTGGGGGGGGATGGAAGAAGGGAGGAAGGAGGGAAGGAGGGGTACGGTCAAGAGCCCTTTCAGCGCCTCCCACACCTCGCTGTCACTGCACTCGCTGAACGGATCCAGGTTGAGCCGCAGCGTGCCTGAGGGGGGACGGAGAGGGACACGGGGGCGGAGAGACGCGAAGGGAGAACAAGGAGGAAGCAATGGGCATAGAGATTCAAGAGTCTGCTGAGTGCCCCCCAAACCTCACTGTCCCTAATAACCGAGTCTTTGTAACGTCTCATCCCGTGGTGCAACTCTTTAGCCGAGGCTCAGAAAGAATGACGACAGGGGGTTGGTCAATGGCACACACACACACACACACACATAAAAAGCGCGGCACCCCACTCGTCCATCGCCTCAAATGTCCTCCTCGTGTTAACACCCTAATCCCGAACCCCTATTCGTTAAATACCCTGCCACTTCTTCACCGGTGAAAAGCACAGGCGCCTGGGGGATGATCATGAGAGCACGCCGCACATCCATCACCCCGCAGAGATCCCATGTCTGGAACTCCCTAACCCAAATGCTCCCCCACACCTTGATAACCCTACGTCTTTCTCACCAGTGAAGAGCACGGGCGTCTGGGGGATGATCATGAGCGCACGGCGCACGTCCGTCACTCCAAACAGCTTCAGATCCTGACCGTCGATGCAGATGCGCCCGCTCTCAATCTCGGCCAATCGGAAGAGTGAGTTGAACAGCGATGACTTGCCTGTAGTGCAGTAACAAGCACACAAAAGGGTGAATAAGGCATGGGAGGTTGGATTGTGGTTGGACCACCATGCATGCTGACCTCCTGTTTCTTTTATATTAGGCGCAGAGAACCCCCTCAGCACAGGATAACACAACATTAGCACAGACAGACCCTCACCTGCGCCAGTGCGCCCCACCACGCCAACCTTCTCTCCTCCCTGCACCAGGGCACTGAGCCCTCTCAGCACGGGCGGCAGGTCCGGCCTGTACCGCATCACCACGTCCTCAAATAACACCTCCCCCTGCTGCGGCCACCCGGACGGCGGGCGGTGGCTCGGGATGATGGCCGGCGCCTCGGCGGGGATGTCGGCGTAACTGCCGACTCGCTCCACCGCGTTGAATGAATTCTCTGAACAACAAGAAAACAACAAAAACAAAGGGTGGGAGACGGGCAGTGGGGGAGGGGGGGGGAGGGATTGCTAACGATAATGGCGGGTGCTTCAACGGGTATGTCGGTGTAACTGCCGACCCGTTCCACCGCGTTGAACGAGTTCTCTGAACGAAAGAGAATGATTATCGAGGAAGGGGAGAGGAGAGGAGAGGAGAGGAGAGGAGAGGAGAGGAGAGGAGAGGAGAGGAGAGGAGAAGGGAGACTGTAGCCTGGGAAACCGTAGCCGGCGCTTCAGGAGGGATGTTGGCGTAACTGCCGACCCTCTCCACCGCGTTTGGAAGAGTTCTCTGAAGAAAACAACAAATCAATCAAGGGTGGGAGAGGAGACGAGGTGGAGGTTGGGGGTGAAGAGATTGCCCTTCGATAATCGGGGGCGATTCAGGGGGGATGTTTGCGTAACCGCCAACTCGCTCCACCGCGTTGAATGAGTTCTCTGAAAAGAGAAAAAACGCATGGGAATGGGGTGGGGGGAGGAGAGGAGGGAGTGGAGGGGAGTAGGGAGAGAGGGGGTTGAAAGAGCTTAGGGGGGGAATGACCGCGTAACTGCCAACCCTCTCCACCGCATTGAATGAGTTCTCTGAACAAGGGGGCAAGAGCGGGGCAGGGGAGGAGCGGGGAAGAAAGGGGGTGACTGTGGCTTGGGGAGCGATGGCAGTTGCTTTGGGGAGGATGTTGGTGAGCAGAAACTCACCAGCGACAAACAGCAGTCAGTTGCTTGCAGTGCAGCACCATGGTCATCATGGCTGTGAACTTCTTTCAGCTTCCACACCCACTGCCACTGCCATAGCACCATACCTCCAGCACTTCAAAAAGGTCTTACCAGAGACGGAGAGCAGGCGCAACACCATGGTCAGCATGTCAGTGACTTTCTTTGGTTCAACACTTTAAGAAGCTCTAAAGTAGCACTCACCAGCAACGGAGAGCAGTCTGAGAACCATGGTCATCATGGCAGTGATTTGCAGTGCGTACGACAGAATGAGTCCCATCACCGGCGCCAGTGCTGCCTGGTCACCCGCCCGCTGCACGTCCATCACTGCAAACACCGCCGTGGCTGGTGGGAGAACAGAGGCGTGCATGCAGAGAAGGGTAGGGTGCAATGCGGTGGGGTTAGGTGCAGCGAAATTAACGGAAGGAGGTGCAATATATGATCATACGGCTCTGAACCAAGGGGGGACCCTGCCTGAACCGCAAAAATACTACCAAAGATGATGAGTCCCCCAGGAACTCGAGGCGGATGGCGAGCCAGCGGTTGGTGAGTCACCTGAGCCGAGACAAACCCTGAACCCTGAACCCTTAACCGAGGTAACATATTACCGAAGATCATGAGCCCGCCCAGGAATTCAAGGCGGATGGCGAGCCAGCGGTTGGCGCTCATGCTGACGAGTGTGAAGCGTGTGTTGCGGTCCACCGCCCGCCCGTTCATCCCCGCCATGCGCGCCGCTGCCCTGTACGCCCTTATGGTCGCCAGCCCATTCAGTGCCTCCGCGAACTGAGAGAAGGGTGGGGTGGTGTGTGTGTGGAAGAAGAGGGGTCGGGGGAGGGGTTAGACGGCACGGCCATTCATCCCCGCCATGCGCGCCGCTGCCCTGTACGCCCTTATGGTTGCGAGGCCATTCAGCGCCTCCGCAAACTGAGAGAGGGGTGGAGTCGTGCGTGTGTGGAAGACAAGGGGTGGGGGGAGGGGTTAGACAGCTCGCCCGTTCATCCCCGCCATGCGCCGCACTGCCCTGTACGCCCTTATGGTTGCTAGCCCAATCAGTGCCTCCGCAAACTGAGAGTGGGAAAGACGACGTGGGGAGCCCAGGTCGGAGAGGGAAACAGAGTGGGGAAACAGGGGTGGGGAGGGAGAGGGAGGGCCAGAAAGTGGGGGTTGTTGGATGTTGGAAACTGGGGATTGAAGGAGCGAGGTGTGTGTATGTGCGTGTGGGTTGGCGCTCATGCTGACGAGTGTGAAGCGCGTGTTGCAGTCCACCGCCCGCCCGTTCATCCCTGCCATGCGCGCCGCTGCCCTGTACGCCCTTATGGTCGCCAGCCCGTTCAGTGCCTCCGCGAACTGAGAACGGGCTGGGACCGTCCGGGTGTGGTTTTTGAAAGCGACGATGGAGGGTCAGCTGCACAGCAATAGACGACGTAGAAGAGCAGCAGCAGCGGCACGATGACCCACATGTGTGGCTCGTGTTGAGCTGAACCTAATCCCCGACACCCTAAACCCTGTACCTGGGGATAGATGTGGATGTGTTGCAAATCGCCTCAGAGCGTACCTGGGAGTAGACGGGAGAGCGCGTGACGGAGTCCCAGCGCTTCACCTCCCGGGCGGTGTTTTGAAAATAAAGGTAGACGATGTAGAAGAGGAGCAGCAGCGGCACGATGGCCCAGAGGGCGACGGTGTTGAGAACGCCGATGAGGGCGAAGGTGGAGAGCAGCTGGAAGATGCCGCCCAGGCACAGCGACGTGTACTGCGCGAGGTTTTTATCGATGTCTGCTGTATCCTTGGTGAAGCGGTTGATCAGACGCCCCACCTGAAGGGGAGGGATGAGAGGAGAGGAGGATAGGGAAGAGTATGAGGCCCAGGCACAGCGACGTGTACTGCGCGAGATTCTTGTCTATGTCCGCCGTGTCCTTGGTGAACCTGTTTATGAGGCGACCCACCTGTAGGAAGGGGAGGGGAAAGAGGGGTTGGGTGTGGGGGAGGGGGGTATGCTGTTGAGGCAGAGAGAGACGTGTACTGTGCAGGATTCGTGTCTATGTCCGCTGTATAGTTCCACTCCACACCTAGGAGGTGGGGTGGAGGGTAGAGGGGAGGGGCGAAGCGAATACACAGTTCAGGCAGAACGAAGTGTACTGCTTGTGCCATTCTCTGCAGCAGCAGAACCACCACCACCACCACCTATGCTATTAGCAGCTCAGTTTATCAAGGGGACCAACCAATCCGCATAGCACAAATTGCTGGGAGAGGGGCAAAAGAGAGGAAAGAGAAATGCTAGCACCAAGGCTAGCAATAAGGCCAGCATCGGCAACAGCCCCAGCACCAGCAGCAACCCCAGCAGCCCCAGAAGCAACACCAACACCATCAACAGCACCTGCGCCAGCCCCAGCAGCAGGACCAGGCCCGACACCCTAAACCCTAAACCCTGAACACCAGCTCCAGCACGAACGCCAGCAACAACACCAGCACCGGCAACAGCCCGTGCACCAGCAGCAACCCCAGCACCAACAGCAGCACCTGCACCAGCACCACCTGTTACCGGTGCTGGTGTTGTTGCTGGCGTTGGTGCTGAAGCTGGTGTCGGGTTTGGTCCCGCTGCTGGGGCTGGTGCAGGTGCTGTTGATTGTGCTGGTGTTGCTTCTGGGGCTGCTGGGGTTGCTGCTGGTGCTTGGGCTGTTGCCGGTGCTGGTCTTACTGCTAGCGTTGGTGCTGGAGAAGATGTGCAATATCAGAGGAACGACTCACGGGGTTTGTGTGAAAGAAGGACATGGGGGCGCGGAGAATGGCCGCCAGCATGGCATCGTGCAGACGACGAGCCGCTCGCTGAGAGGAGAACACCTGCAAGGTGCGGGGGAGAGGAGAAAGAGGAAGAAGCAGGTCAAGAAATGAGAGAGAGAGAGGAAAAAAAACAAAAAAGGCACACACAAACACAGACTGATGAAGCAGTGTCGAAAATAGTGTTTTTTTTCAGAACATAAGTCATAAGGGTCGTCAACAAATCTCCTGCCACAAACATCAAAATTCAGTGCAAGTATGGCTGGAAACCAGCAGACACTTCTTCCCCGGCTGACTCATTGCTAGTACCAACCAACCAATCAACCAATAAGCAGTGTGAACTCACGAGGAAGTATTGGTTGGCGAAGGTGAGCAGCACTTGGCCCAGCGAGATGAGCGAATACCCCGCCACGAAATACAGCGACCCATGCCCACCACCCTCCTCCTGAGAAACACTCCCCGTCCACACGCTGATCCACACGCTGGCCAGCACCCTGGCGGCCTCCACGAGCACGTAGAGCGAGATGAGCACCGCCAGCACGCCCGTCCCCCCCATGGCCCTCACATACCGCCACACCACCGCCGCGCTCACCACCCCCTGCGCCTTCTCCTCTGTTTGGACTAGCGTCGTTCCCCCTGCCGCTCCGCCTTTCTCCCCCTTTCCTGCTCCGCTCTTCTCCCCAGCCCGGTTGCTGCTGCTAGAATCGCCATTCGCTGCTGCAGCAGAGTCACTGCCACCGCCACCACCACCACTGCTGCTGCCGGCTGTTGCAGCAGCCGCTGCCGCTTCGGCACTCGTCTCACCCGCACCATTCCCCGCCGCGTCCCCGGCTGTTTCTCCTCCCTCCCCGCCCACCTCCGCGTCCCCGTGCTCCTCCAGCGCGCCTGCCTTCTCCAGCAGCCTCTGGAACTTGGGTGCCGACGCCTTGAGCTGCGCATACGGCCCCTGCTCTGCTATGCGCCCCCCCTCCACCATCACCACCCAGTCCACGGCTGTGAAGGGGCGACGAGGGTTCAAGGGGGGACGAGGTTTCAAGTGGGAGGGCGGGCGGAGTGAAAAAAAAAGGGAATGAGGAGGATGGAGGTGCAGGAGATAGCCCCTGCTCTGCTATGCGCCGCCCCTCCACCATCACCACCCAGTCCACGGCTGAAGAGGGGGAGAGCGAGGGAGAGGGGAGAGCGGGGAGAACGGGAGAGGGGGGAGAGATGAAAAGAGTGAGGGGAGATCATAGAGTGGAAGGACGTTCTTGAGTAACAGAAATATGATGAGATGGTTTCTACCAACTAAAGTACCTGGCAAAAAGTGCAGCTGGTTTGTGACCATGATGCGCGTGCGGCCGGCAAGCTCTGTCCTCACACACGTGTCGTACACCTGCGCGGAGCCATGGAATAAGAGGCACATCACAAGCACGTGAGTATTATAAAAAGGAAACTCGCATGCAGCAAACCCATGATGACATGTTCCCAAACCCCAAGCCCAGAGCATCAAGCCAACGAGGTGACTTTTGAGTCGACTCAAAAGTCTCCCAAACCCCACGCCCAGACCAGAGCATCAAGCCACCCACCCACCTGCTTGGCGATGTGGGGGCGTCGAGGTTGGAGAGCGGGTCGTCGAAGATTGAACAATAAGCATCAGAGTAGACCGCTCTGCTAGCCCCAGTTCACTCTCCCGCACGTGAAAGATGTGAGTTTTTGAGGCGTCTCAAAAACTCACTTTCTCCTGCGCGGTGACTTTCACTGCCCGCAAACCTCAAACCTTGAGCTGCAAGCCCCATACCCCAAGCCCTGAAACCCCAATCCCCAAAACATAGACCCACCTGCTTGGCGACGTGCGCATCGAGGGCGGAGAGCGGATCATCGAAGAAGAACACATCGGCATCAGAATAGACCGCTCTCGCGATGCTGATGCGCTGCTTCTGCCCGCCGCTCACGTTCACTCCCCTCTCGCCTATCTCCGTCAGGTCCCCCCCTGGCAGCAGCTGCAGGTCCCTCTCCAGGGCGCTCACTCTCACTGCCCTCAAACCCCAAACCTTGACCCGCAAACCCCATACCCCAAACCCTAAGTCCCCAAACCCTGAGCCCGCACACACCTGCTTGGCGACGTGCGCGTCGAGGGCGGAGAGCGGATCATCGAAGAAGAAGACATCGGCGTCAGAATAGACCGCTCTCGCGATGCTGATGCGCTGCTTCTGCCCGCCACTCACGTTCACTCCCCTCTCGCCTATCTCCGTCAGGTCCCCCCCTGGCAGCAGCTGCAGGTCCCTCTCCAGGGCGCTCACTCTCACTGCCCTCAAACCCCAAACCTTGACCCGCAAACCCCATACCCCAAACCCTAAGTCCCCAAACCCTGAGCCCGCACACACCTGCTTGGCGACGTGCGCATCAAGGGCGGAGAGCGGATCATCGAAGAAGAAGACATCGGCGTCAGAATAGACCGCTCTCGCGATGCTGATGCGCTGCTTCTGCCCGCCACTCACGTTCACTCCCCTCTCGCCTATCTCCGTGAGGTCCCCCCCTGGCAGCAGCTCCAGGTCTCTCTCCAGGGCGCTCACTCTCACTGCCCGCTCGTACCGCTGCCGCTCGTAGGGCAGCCCGAAAAGAATGTTCTCGCGCACTGTGGCGTTGAAGATCCAGGAGACCTGCGCAGGCCATGTGCCACGTGGCAGCATGTGATTGGGGGAGAGGAAGAAGGGGAGGGCAGATAAAAAAGGGAAAACATAAGGCTCAGCGGGTGGACCGTGGACCGCAAGCAAATGAAACATATCATGAAAAAGAAAATTTGCACTTGCTAAAACAAAGGAAACAAAGTACCTGATTAGGGGACCAGATGCAAAATAACCTTCGAAGAATCGGTACAAACCTGCGAGACATAGGCCACGCGGCCTCTGATGATAGGAGGAGAGTCCCCTGACACCATGGGCATCTCGCCCAGCAGCGCACTGACTAGCGATGACTTGCCTTGCCCTGCCATGGGGTGGGGTGGGATGGGGGAGGAAAGCAAGGTGAAGGAATGTGGTCAGGAAGATGTGAGTTGATGAAGAGGCCTTTCCAGTCCTGACATGCCATCTCACCCAACAGTGCACAGACCAGTGATGACTTGACCCGCCCAAACCCACCCTGACCCGCCTTGACCCTCCCCAACCTGCCCCGACCAACCCACCCCATTTGCTTTGATCCGTCCTGAACCTCCTGAACCCCTCTGACCCGCCCAGTTCACCCTACATGCCGTACCTGTGGCGCCCACAACAGCCACCAGCTTCCCAGGCTCCACCGATAGAGTCACATCTGTTAGCGTGCCCCCCATGTCCTTCTCCTTCCCCTCCCCTCCCACTCCACCCTTCTCCTTGCCTTCTCCCCCTCCTCCACCTCCTTTTTCTGCTCCTGAGCCCCCCCCAGCAGCACCGTTAGAAGCAGCACCATTAGCAGCAGCAGTGGGAGCAGCAGCGGGAGCAGCGCTCCAGGCGAAGGAGGCATGGGAGACCTCGACAGCCGGCTTGGCAGGGTCAACGGGCGGCGCAGGGGCGTCAATGTCTGTTTCGTCTGCCAGTAGCATCTCCTGCAGGCGCGTGAGAGACACGTTCACGTTCACCACCTGGGGTTTGGGGGAGGTGGGTGTGGGGTTTCCAGCAGAGGGTGTAAGGTAGATGGGGGTAGAAGGAGGGATGAAGAGGAATAAGAGAAAGGAGAGGTGTCGATGTCCGTCTCGTCCAAGTCACTTTTGAGAATTCTCAATGAAGAAAAGAAAGACGCAACTTGTGTGAGGCATGTGCCATGGGGGGAAGAGGGACGAGTAGAAACAGCTCGCCAGCGCAACAGTTCCCAGACGCCTCAAAAATCTAGCAGAAGCACTTAAATCCCCCAAGGCTGCATGAGTTTTGGGGTAAACACGAGGGCGGAATGAGCAAGGGCAAAGGCGAGTGAGAAGCTTGCATGCATAACTTAGAAGGTGAGAATACCTTTTAGACGGGTACATATTCTAAATCAAATGATTCTTGATCACGTCACATAATTAGAAAACGGAGGAAAGTTCGCATCCACATTTTATGCGCATGCAAGATGAGGGAGAGTAAAAGAGAGGGTGCATCTCCTTTCTTGATAATAAGTGCGTGACATAGCATTATGGTTATAACTCAAAGAATACGTATCATTTAGTCTTATAAGTGTAAGGGTGTTACTTAGCCTTGTATCCAGTCTATGTGTGAGAGCATTACTAATTATTATAATTGGTAAAAGATGTAAAAACGATATTTGGCCTTATGATTGGTAGAAAGTGTAAGTGTGTTGTTTAGCCAGGAAGAGGGGTGGAGGAGTGGGAGGGGAGTGAAAGTACATGACGTGGGGGATAGCTGTGGCATTCTCAGGTGCGCGTATTATCCAACAGACTATAAGATTAGAATCGTTGATGGACGTGGAAGACGGCACGAGTTGGGTTATTTCGTCGTGAACTACAACATGGTTGGGAGAGCGTCAGAGTTTGAGCATGTACTTTTCAGGCTTGAACTCCCAAAACCTCACATGTCCATTACTCCTGCGCAGTTTGAAACGGCAGTCAAGATGGGTAATAAACCTCCTTTCAAAAAGTGAAAGGAGGTGGTGAAATTTCTAACTGTCGCGACAGATGACGACGTAGGGATGCTTACTGAAGGCATGACAAGGAGAGGAGGGGCTGAAGGCATCACAATGTCGTCCTCCGCCCCGGCATACAGAATATACATCACCTAATTACACTTTTTGTTAGCAAGTTTACTACCCAGCTTGACCGCCGCCTCAGACTGCGCAGGAGTAATGAAAATGTGAGGGTTTGGGAGTATAGTTCAAAAGCACATGTCCAAACTCCGACGCCCTCCCAGCCATGTTATAGTCTACGAAATAACCCAAATCGTGCCGTCTTCCGCGTTCATCAATGATTCTAATCCTATAACTTGCCGGGTAGTAGTATGTGCTTCCGAGAATGCCACAACTATCCCCCACCTCATGTACTTCCACAACCCCTCCCACTCACCCACCCCCTCCCCATAGCTGAGTAACGCACTTACACTTACTACCAAGTACGATTGGTACTAAATGTAGATGCATTATTTGGCCAAATAATCTATATTAAGTGTAAGAGTGGTAGTAACTCCAAGTGCAGTACTTAACTTTTTGGTTGATATTATGTAAAATTGTGGTACGTGGTTATACAATTGGTACTAAATATAATGATTTACTTAGCATGACAGTTGGTACTAAGTGTTAGTCCCTCAAGAGGTAGGGGAAAACAAGGGTACTCAATAGCAAAGCAATGAAGCGAAACACTGACCTGGGTGATGAGGTTGGGGAACATGTAGAGGGGGAAGCGCAGCACAGCGAAGAGGGAGATGGAGGTGAAGGCCTTGGCGGCTGTGAGCTGGTGGCCTAACAGCGAGTAGCAGCCGAACGACACCACCGTCACCAGCACTGGCACCACACTCATCAGCAGGAAGTTGATCTGCGGAAGGATGGGGGGATGGGGAAGGGGGGTTGGGAGGGGGCGAAGAGAGAGTGGAGGAGAAGGGAAGGCGGGCGGAGAGGGGAAAGAAGAGTGGCGTGGGGCTTGACCACGAGTGAAGTCTAGTGAATTCTATTCTACTAGAAAACCGCTCACAGGTGAACTCTTTGGACCTTTGGGGGGTTTTGACATGATATACGCAAAGAAACATAAGGGCGGGCCATAGCTATTCGCTTACCCTTCGGGATTGACGTGCAAGGCTCAATATAATGTACGATTGCACTGTTTTTTGGAAATCTGCCACATATCATCAACCTCCACCTTGCTCTGAAAGCTCTCCTGTCACGTGTACGACTTGACTCACCACCACCTCACTCATCCTCTCCACCTCATCACACCGCACACAACCCACCGCCATGATGTATTGCGCCTTGGAGATCTGCCCCATCTCGTCCGCCCTGACCCACACCACCTTGCTCTGAAAGCTCTCCTCCCACGTGTACAGCTTTACCACCATCACCTCATTCATCCTCTCCACCTTGTCATACCGCACACAACCCACCGCCATGATGTATTGCGCCTTGGAGATTTGTCCCATCTCGTCCGATCGGACCCGCGCCACCTTGCTCTGAAAGCTCTCCTCCCAAGTGTACGACTTGACGACGTCCATGGCTGCCAGCACCTCGCTCATGAGCGCCACTCGCTTGTCACTGCGCTGCAGTGATGCCTTCACCAGCTTCTGCACCCTATTCACTATCACCGCCTGTGGTTTGCGGGGGAAGAGGGGCAGCGGAAGAGGAGAGAGAGGAGGGGAGAGACGAGGGGAGAGAGGAGGGGAGAGAGGAGGGGAGGGGAGAAAAAGGGAGGGGAGAGGGGGGGGAAAGATGGGAGAGCCGGGGAGAGAGAAAAGGGAGAGATGAGGCGTGTACGACTTGACGACCATGGCTGACAGCACCTCGCTCATGAGCGCCACTCGCTTGTCGCTGCGCTGCAGTGATGCCTTCACCAGCTTCTGCACCCTGTTCACTACCACCGCCTGGTGGTGGGGAGAGGGGGGGATGTGGCACGGGAGGCAGGGAGAATGGAGGACGGACGAGAGGAGGGGAACAGGGAGGAGGTAGGCAGATGGAGAGAAAAAAGGGGTGGGAAGCGGGGTTTGGGTTGAGGACGGAGTGAAGAAAGGAGGGGTGAGGGGAATTGAGAGGGGGGAAGTGAGGCGAGGAGAGAAGAGGGAAGCGAAGAAGCATAGGGAGAGACGCACTGGCCATTCCAAACTGATGGCAGAGCAGCACCATGATGTTGCAGAGTATTTTTGAGAATTCTCAAAAATACTCTGAAGCATAGAGAGAGACGCACAGGCCATTCCAAACTGATGGCAGAGCAGCACCATGGAGGCAGATGAGAATGTGAGCAGAAATACCAGAGAGTCTAGCCCCATTTCCACCCGGTACCACAACCACTCACCTGCGCGGGGATCATGAGGAGCAGCATGAGCAGCCCGAGGAGTGATGCCACCCCCAGCTGCTGGTTTGTGAGACATCTCAAAAAGCGGCCCATCAGTCCTGACCTGACTCACAACCACCAAGATGCACTCACCTGCGCGGGGATCATGAGGAGCAGCATGAGCAGCCCGAGGAGTGATGCCACCCCTAGCTGCTGGTTTGTGAGACATCTCAAAAAGCGGCCCATCAGTCCTGACCTGACTCACAACCACCAAGATGCACTCACCTGCGCGGGGATCATGAGGAGCAGCATGAGCAGCCCGAGGAGTGATGCCACCCCTAGCTGCTGGTTTGTGAGACATCTCAAAAAGCGGCCCATCAGTCCTGACCTGACTCACAACCACCAAGATGCACTCACCTGCGCGGGGATCATGAGGAGCAGCATGAGCAGCCCGAGGAGTGATGCCACCCCTAGCTGCTGGTTTGTGAGACATCTCAAAAAGCGGCCCATCAGTCCTGACCTGACTCACAACCACCAAGATGCACTCACCTGCGCGGGGATCATGAGGAGCAGCATGAGCAGCCCGAGGAGTGATGCCACCCCCAGCTGCTGGTTTGTGAGACATCTCAAAAAGCGGCCCATCAGTCCTGACCTGACTCACAACCACCAAGATGCACTCACCTGCGCGGGGATCATGAGGAGCAGCATGAGCAGCCCGAGGAGTGATGCCACCCCTAGCTGCTGGTTTGTGAGACATCTCAAAAAGCGGCCCATCAGTCCTGACCTGACTCACAACCACCAAGATGCACTCACCTGCGCGGGGATCATGAGGAGCAGCATGAGCAGCCCGAGGAGTGATGCCACCCCTAGCTGCTGGTTTGTGAGACATCTCAAAAAGCGGCCCATCAGTCCTGACCTGACTCACAACCACCAAGATGCACTCACCTGCGCGGGGATCATGAGGAGCAGCATGAGCAGCCCGAGGAGTGATGCCACCCCTAGCTGCTGGTTTGTGAGACATCTCAAAAAGCGGCCCATCAGTCCTGACCTGACTCACAACCACCAAGATGCACTCACCTGCGCGGGGATCATGAGGAGCAGCATGAGCAGCCCGAGGAGTGATGCCACCCCTAGCTGCTGGTTTGTGAGACATCTCAAAAAGCGGCCCATCAGTCCTGACCTGACTCACAACCACCAAGATGCACTCACCTGCGCGGGGATCATGAGGAGCAGCATGAGCAGCCCGAGGAGTGATGCCACCCCTAGCTGCTGGTAGAGCAGGAAGACACACACGAGGATGCGGAGAGGAGCGGACCAGAGACCGTGCAGCTGCTGACACACCTGGGAGATTAGGATGGGAGACGAGGGGAAGGGAAGGGAGTGAGTGAGACAAAGGGAGTGAGTCAACGCAAGGGGTGAAGAGGAGTGATGCCACCCCTAGTTGCTGGTAGAGCAGGAAGACACAGACGAGGATGCGGAGAGGGGCGGACCAGAGACCGTGCAGCTGCTGACACACCTGGGAAGAGGGGAGAGCGGCAGGAGAAGGGAAGAAGGTTGATTACAGAGGAGTTTGAAGCGAGCAAATCGGCCGTCTTGATGCACATTCTGAGCAAGGAGGTGGAGCCTATTTTTGAGGCGACTAAAAAAAGGTGGAGCCAGACTTACTGATTGATGGTAATGCGGTTGTTGTCACACAAAAAGGGAATACCACACTGCGGTTATTGTCACCTGAATGTTTCAAAAACTCTAAGAATACCACACCGCATCACACCACACCACACCGCACCTCACCCCACCGCACCACACCGCACCGTACCATCTGCAGCGACTCGGCGTCGTTGGTCATCATGTTGGTGATGCGCCCCGTGCTGAAGCCCTGCCTCCCACTGTGACTCAACCGCAGCGACTTGCTGAACACTGCTGCCACCTGGGCGCAGAAACACAGGGTCAAGAGAGGGGAACAGCACTCTCCATCTCGCCTTGAGATTTGGGACGTCACGAAACGATGGGCCAGTCGGGAGTGTGTTTTTAAGCGCCTGAAAAGGAGGTCTAGAGAAAGGGTAACGGCAATTTCAAGTTTCATTTATCCTCGTCCTCCAGATTCGGGACGATTTGAACGGACGCGGGGTTTGGAGAGGGAGTGTAACAGGGATGGAGAAACACGGTGTGACGCATGGATGACGATGCAAAGGGAACGTGTAAGGAACGGTATATGGGGGTGAGTGAAAATGAATGGGAGCACCATCCACTTGAAGATAACGTAAACCCACAGTGCATGTAACAGTGCCACAATGCATTCCACCCCCCCCCCCCTTCCCCCCCCCCAACAGTGCCTCCCATAGCGCACAGTACAGCACGCTGCCTATCCATCCACCCACCCACCCACCCACCATGGCTTACCAGCATGTCACGGCATCCCAAGTGCACAACACAGTGCATGCAACAGCACCCTTTCACAGCTTGTCTCAGGCACGTACCATGGCTTGCCGCAGCTGGAATCCCACGCGCATCACACTCTGGAAATACTGCGCCTCACAGATCACCCCTCCCAGCACCCACCATAAACAACCAACATGTCATGGCACCATACAGTGCACAGCACAGCACAGCACAACGCACACCACACTCCCATGCCTACCATGGCTTGCCGCAGCTGGAAGCCCACGCGCATCACACTCTGGAAATACTGCGCCTCACAGATGACCCCTCCCACCTGGTACCACGGAGGGATACACGGACAGAGAGATGGTTGGTGTGCGGTGCTGGGCGGTTAACAAGAGGTGGTGATGGTATGCTACTGGGTTGACGGGGGTGATGCGGGGTGGGTGGGATGCTGCGGCGTTAATGACGACGAGTGATAATTAAAAGCATCGCAAGCATGCATGACACGTCCCACTGCATGGCAGACCCCTAAACCCCTGAACCCTACTCTTCCATTTACTCTGTGCCTAGGCCTCATAGTACCAGCCCCAGGAAGATGATGGTGGCATAGATGTAGCTGTGCCATGCAGGCTGGTCTGGTCCCACTGCATGGCAAACCCCTAAACCCTCCAACACTCTGTCCACACCACACTGTGTGTCTATGGGCATAACCCCACAACCACACCAGGGAGGGTGCACCACCATACCAGTCCAAGAAATATGATGGTGGCATAGATGTAGCCGTGCCATGCAGGCTCTTCCCACTGCGTGGCAGACCCCTAAACCCCCTAATACTCTATCACTGTGTGTCTATGGGCATAACCCCACAACCACACCAGGGAGGGTGCACCACCATACCAGTCCCAGGAAGATGATGGTGGCATAGATGTAGCCGTGCCATGCAGGCTCGTCCGACTGCATGGCTGACAGCAGGCGGCTGAGCATCAGCGGTCCCACAAACTGAGACGCATCGTTGCCAATCTGATGAAGAGTAGGGTGGGGATGGAGTGGAGATGGGGATGGGATGGGGGTGGGATGGGGGTGGGAATGGGGATTGGATGGGGGTGGGATGGGGGTGTGCATGCGGCGAGCAGACGGTGAGGTTTGCGTCAGTGGCCTCACACCACGGCACAGACTGCATGGCAGCGAGGTGACTCGAAAGTCGCGGCGAGCAGACAGGGAGGGGGATGCGTCAGTGGCCCCACACCACACCACACCACGGACTGCATGGCATGGCAGACAGCACAGCAGGCGGCTGAGCATCAGTGGGCCCACAAACCGAGATGCATCGTTGCCGATGGGAATGGGCACGATGGGTGAGCGAGCAGCGGTGTGTATGAGAATCCAAAGATGCAACATACAACATGCAACATGGAACATGCAGCATGCAATATATGCTGGAGCACCAGCCAGCATCATCCAGGCAAGAGTGTACAGGTAGGAAGGAAGGAAGGAAACATGCAACTCTCCACACACACAGGTCAGAAAAGGCCTAGCTAGCATTCAGGCGGGAAGGGAAGAGAAGAGGGAGGCATACCTTGCAGAACCCACCCCACCAGAACCTGTTAGGTCGGACGAGTAAGGGGAAGACAGGGATGGGAAGGAAGTAGAAGGGATGGGGGTGGGGAGGGGGTTGTGAGATGTATGCGTGTGAGCGGTGCATGTCGAACCGACAACGAGATTCAAGATGTCTCGAAACTTAACGATGGGGTATGTGTATGGTGCATGTGTGACCGACTGTACGAATTGAAATATGATTCGGAAGATGTGGGGGCCGGGGGGTGGTGGGTAGGGGAGGGGGTGGGGGAGGGGAGAGAGGGGGGAAGAGAATGGTGGTGCGCATGTGTGAGCGATCACAACCCAATACAAAGATTCATCTGTGTTTGCTGAGTGCGTCCTGTATGCCGCACTCTGCAATGGCGGCACTGCCCGATCAAAGAAGCTGAAAATGCACCCACAACACAAGCTCCTCCGTCCATTTTTGCGGCGCCTCAAAAACTCTGCAACGGCGAGCACTGCGCTGTCAAAGATGCTTAAAATGCCCACCGTTGCAGAGTTTTTGAGGCGCTGCACAACACAAGCTCCTCCGTCCATCTGTCCCTCCGTTCATCCGTCCACTTCTCCGGCACCTCCCCCCTCCCCTCTTTCTTCCCTCACATCTCCTCCCATTCCTCCTGCTCCTCCCCTCCCACCCCTCCCCTCCCTTCCCACCCACCTCTCCCACACCTCTCAAACCCTCACACCAGTCCCATCCCCCCCCTCCGACCCTTCCACCCCTCCCTCACATCCTCTCCCCTCACCTGCGGCCAAAGCAGGAGTGCAGGGCGCGCAGCAGCCACGGCTTCGGCCGCGCCTTTTCTTCCCTCCACTCGCGCTCAAACCTGCCCAGGTGGGGGCGAGAGCACAGAAGACAGCGGAACGGATTCATGAACGGGAGGTTGGTACCAACCAGGACAGCAGACGACACTACTTAGCCGCCCCTTCTCTCCCCTCCACGTGCCAACGTGAGAGAAAAGCCGAGCGGAGGGTAGGAATTGAGAAATCAGGGCAGCCAGCCATCATTCAGGTGAGGATACATCGCTGCCCTCCAACCGGCACATGGTGTCATTCATGCCCCACAGACCCACAGATAGACCCACACAACCTCACCTGCCATACACCGTGGCAGTGCGGTCCCCGTCATTCAGCCGCCACACATCGCTGTCCTCTATCGGGCGCCGGTACCCCGTAGCCATGAGAGGCGTCATCCACCCAAACGTCAGACCTGCGGAAGGAGTGGGGGAAGGAAGGAGTGGGGAGGAAGGGGTGGGGAGGAAGGGATGAGGAGGAAAGGGTGGGGGATGGGTGAGGGTGGGTGACGAGGAGCAAGGTAAAAGGGTCTGGAATTCTGAAACAGGTGAGAGCTCACGGCCCAGGTTTAAGCTCAGACGCTTCAAGTGCTTTACAGGACAGGATGTGAAGTGAAAGGTAAAAGAGTACGAGGTTTGGGGTTTAAGAACAGTAGATGAAGCTCAGGTGCATCAGGTCCACTACTTGGAGGTTGTGAGGTGTTGTAAGGTGGAAGGAATTAGGCTTCAGGGATTCAATGAGGCCTCACGGTTGATGAAGCTGGTGTGGTCTTCTGGGCACACCTGCCCCTGGTTATCTCCTTCCTCCTCCGCTGCTTCTCCTTCCGCCCCACCCACAGGCCCTGCAGCCAAAGGCGCATACCCCGCACCACCACCACTCCCTGCTGCCCCTGCTGCTTCTCCTGCTGCTGCTGCAGGTGGCAGGAGTGGCGCTGCTGCCTCTGCAGCTGCGAGGGCGGAGGAGGAGAATCCCGACGAGGCACGCTCAAGCGGGAGCAGGTTGGGGAAGAAGAAGAGCGCGAGCAGACCCAGGAGGACCTGGGGGGACGAGAAAAGGGGCGCGGAAGGGTGGGGGGACGAGGAAGGGAGGGAGCAGGGACGGGAGAATGGGAGAGTAGAAAAGCAAGGGGGATGCACGTGGGGCGGACTGGGAGGAGAAAAGCCTTTGATTGACATCCAGATCGAAATAAAGGAATTAAAAGAAAGAAAGAAAGAAAGAAAGAAAGAAAGAAAAAAAACAAAAAACAAAAAACGTGGAACAATTAGCACTTACATGAGCTGATGTGTAGCCAAAGAAAAGCTCCACAAAGAAGCTGGGAAGCAAGGAAAGAGTGCAGAAGGGGAGTATGCAAGGGGAAAAATCAAAGTCAGTCACAAAAAAAAAAAAACAACAACAACGCGAACAGTGGAGGAGAGGAAATGAGCACGAACCACAGCAGCCATGCACCAGGCCACCAGGCAACAAGTACAATCACCCCACTCTATTCCATCCCATGCAAAGAACTCACGCCTGGAAGTCCTGCTGCAGAATGAGCACGAATCTCAGCTTCGCCAGCTGCCCCACCATCACGTAGAGCACTGCGAATCGCAGCAGCCATGCGCCCTTCACTGCCATGCGCCTGCGCTCCCAGAAGAGAGCCGTTGCTGTGAGCGCCCAGGCGAGGAACGCGAGGATCAAGGAGCAGACCTGGCAGCGCAAGGGATAGAGTTGAAATGAGGGAAGCATGAAACAGTGAGATTGATACGTGGCATGGCAATCATACCATACGACGGTCACTGCCATGCGCCTGCGCTCCCAGAAGAGCACGGTTGCAGTGAGCGCCCAGGCAAGGAATGCGAGGATCGAGGAGCAGACCTGGCAGAGCAAGGGATAGAGTGGAAATGAGGAGAGCGTGAAACAGTGAGATTGATACGTGGCAACCATGTCACTGCCACGCGCCTGCGCTCCCAGAAGAGCGCTGCAGTGAGCGCCCAGGCGAGGAAGGCCAGGATCAAAGGAGCAAATCTGGGAATGCACGGGATTGTATTGAGATGAGGAGGAGAGCAGGAAGATAGTAGCTTCAACTGCAGCAGCCACACATCCTTCACTGCCATGCGCCTGCGTTCCCAGAAAAGCGCCGTGGCGGTGAGGTGAGCGCCCAGGCGAGGAACGCGAGGATCAAGAAGCAAAGTTGAGAGAGCATATCTTTTTTAGGGGAACAGGAGCGGAAGCAGCCACGTGCCCCGGGATCTGGCATTCGCTCTTCACCAAGTTCACTTTTGAGTCGACTCAAAAGTCAATGTGCCCCGGGATCTGGCATTCGCTCTTCACCGCCATGCGCCTGCGGCTCCCAGAAAGGGGCCGCGGCGGTGAGCGCATTACGTGAGGAAGGTGAAGATCAAAGAGCAAACTTAAGAAGCAGATTGAAGAATAATTAATTGAAAAACAAAAACAAAAACAAAAAAAGGGCCCGGGACGAAGAGAAGAGGAGAGAGGCATCAGTCGACAAGATCCACACGAAAGGCCGCGACTGGCGTGCGTCCTTAATGACATCTGCTTGCAGACGAGCTCATTGATTTGAGATGCGAATAGAAACTAGAGAGATTAGAACACGAGAGCTCCAGAAGAGAATTGCGGAAGAGAGGGTCTCAGCGGGGAACAAGAGCATTACGAAACAGATCTGGGCTAAGAAACAGCGAGGTTGTAACGCATTGGGAGATTGAACCGCATAGGCGTGCGGTACCTCGTAAGGCAGCAGATCCGCATCTGTAGAGAAGGAGCTCAGTGACACGCGAGCGGGATTTTTTTATCGACTCAAAAACCGAATGATTCACCTCGTAAGGCTCTTACCTCATAAGGCGGTAGATCCGCATCTGTAGAGAAGGAGCTCAGTGACACGCGAGCGCTCAGCTGCATCAGCGGAACCACCGCACACGTCAGCGCCAGCGCGGCAGCCGCCACGATCCCCCGCTCCCCGCGCCACCCTGGCGCAACCGCCCGCTGCTGCGCGCGCGGGGTGGTGTAGAGAACGTACAGCCGCAGCACGGCTAGAAGAATCATAGCGAGGTACGCTGTACCGAGTACGACAATGTCGATGAAGCAGGGCGTGAAAGCGCCTAGCTCGTTCGTGATTGACTCCCATGATCCGTTAAACTGCGGCTTGCAGAACGAATCTACGAACTGCGGAGGCGGCGCCGGCTGCGGCGGCGGCGCGGACGGGCCGAGAATTGCGGAGGAGACGGTGGGAAAGGGAGAGAATGCGACGGATGAGAAAAGCTCGGCGACATTGCCGCGCGAGGCGGCGCCAGTTGCGGCCATCGCGGTGTCGGTTTCGGAGAGATTGGCGCCGGAAGTCGCGGCGGAAGACGCGGCGGTGAGGAAGGAGGTAACATTAGTGGTGGATGGATGGAGGGAAAGCAAGGAGGAGAAACCGCCGGTGCCATCGAGGGAATCGGGAGGCGACAATGACGCTGCTGCTGACAAACCGCTGACGGTAGTGGTTATCGTTGCGGGGTAACTACTATCGGAGAGCCATGGGAAGAGAAGTGAGGGGTAGGGAAGCACGGAGGGAGTCAGAGGCGCCATTGCGCCGCGCAAAGGCTGCTTTCTGACGGCGGGTTCTGATTGCCACGTTTTGACCACCCCCAACCTCTCCTAACAGAATTCTTCGATTTTATCGCTTCTGACCTTCGTCGGATCTGTTCTGACCTCCGATCGCGGACGGGTAAAATTAACACGTAGTGGACGTACTCCCGACACTACTATAAACACACTACCAGTATCGCATACGTACCTTCTTCCTACTTCTATCAAAGTCAAATGTCATGACCTTTGTTTCTTGCAATAAGAGCTAGATTACGGGGAGCATGGCGCGAAACTAGAGACTAGCAACACCAAAGTCACCCGTCCCAAAACTCTAGTCTGCTTGGAGCTCCCATTGCAACAAAAGAAACATAGGAGCAGCACCCTAGTGACCAGTGAAATTGACAAGGCTTTATAACAGCATCACCGGATGCAACAAGACCTAAACCATTCAAACCGAGAACGAAGCCAGGCCAATGACATGGTGCACGACAAGATCAAGGCAGCATTTTTAGCAAAATGCCCAAGCTTCTTTGACGGGCAGGACATGCTCCAAAACAGTCCATTATCGTCATTTAGGTCAGCTATTACACACAAATTGGTCATGAAGGTTGAAGTGTACGAAATTATGCTTTCTATTGTTGGTCGACCAGTGTTCGAACATACGAAAAAGAAGGTGAACAATGGCAAGTCATATGCCCAACAAGTGGGCTCACAGTGATCATAAACAAGCCATTCATACACGTCCACCTGGCAGATAACAGTGCGGCACTGGGCACAGAACGGCGTGTGAGGTCAGCATATACAGTAGAATAGCGACTCCCCAAGTTCCTCGAAATTACGAAACAGCAACGGACAACAAATTTAGTCCATATTGTTTACATGAATATCCATGGCAGCTCTCGTAGCTCAGTTGGTTAGAGCGTATGGCTGTTAACCATAAGGTCGGTGGTTCAAGCCCACCTGGGAGCGGTCTTTCGCGTTTACGTTTTTCCACATGCAATTTTGGTTTTCTCGGTCTATTTCCTGCTGTTTCAGGCAGCGTGGCTGCTATGAGCGCTGACATCAAGACATTGTTTGATCAGACGAATCATCCAACTCTCTGATAACCGTTGCCCACCCTAGCAGCAGCATTCGTGGAAGGTTCGTCGGCAGCAAGGGCAGGAAAGGAGGCCATGAGTAGTGAAGGTTGGGATGGAAAGGGTGCAGGGGAGCAGTTGTGACTGGGCCAGAAAGGAGGCAGGGGGGGTATGTAGCTGGAACGGACAGGGGGCAGCGGAGCACATGTGGCTGCTACATGAAGGGAGCAAGGGAGGAGCGAGAGTTGAAATCGGACGGGAAGCAAGGGATCAGCAGAGCATTAGAGAAGGTATGACAGGAGGCACCAGGCAGTGTGAGAGTGAAGGGGCGAAACGACGTTCCCTAGAGGTCTAGGGGTTTGGCTCGGGTGATGATTACCGTGTGGGCTCATGGCTGTATCGGCCAGTGCGTTCTTTGTGAGTATTGAGTGGGGCAAGAAAAGTCCTAAGAATACGAAATGTGGGAAGTGTTATCCGGGTCAGTGTCCATGTTTTTATCCTAGAGGTGGCACATGCTGAAAGGAATACCGTATCAGTCTGTACCGTATGCTTGTGGTGCACGCGTGCGCATCTGCACGCGCACGGGTACAGACAGAGGTGCACACAACACACACACGCACACACGCATACACACACGCACGCTCACACATAAAGTACACACACACTTGCACAAGCCCACTGGCATGCTCTGCCATTCAAGATGGCAGCTGGCTGCAGGCTTACGGTTGATCAACCGAACAAACCAGGCCACCCTTGCGTCGGGAAATACAGGGTTTGTTGCTTGTGAATTGATTGCTACTTGGACCGACCACTCGTGACATTAACAAACAAATACCATCTTGCAAATGCAATAACACCTACGATCTAGCTCCACTCGCATCGTCACTTGTCAGGTCATTAAAAGTCTCAACAACATGCTTTGCCAATGTCATAACAGAGTACTCAACAATAACCTGCAAAAAGAGAAGCCATCCAACTCCGCAAAAAATTCAACAAAAGCAATAACACATATGCATAAATACGTTCGTATGCACAGACTGGACACATTGGAAGTGTGCAGTGCACATACCTCCATGTATGTGTCCAAGGTCGGATGAGCCCCGGAAATCTTCTCATACCCATCATACCACATGGTCCCCGGGGTCCACAGGTGCTTGAAATCTTGCCACAGTCGGATGTCGTAGAGGCGTTTCAAAGGGTCAAAGAAGCCTGGTGCGTGCTCATTGGTGGCAATGTACAGTGTGCGTCCAGGTGCAACGAACTTGGGAAGCCTTTTTAGTAACCTGCAGGTGGGTGGTGCAGAGGAAGGAAAGAGGGTCCTCAGGAGAGAGTTGGGTTGGGTGGATGTATGGAGAAAAGGACAGATAGTATCCGGTGTTAAGCAATGTGAGCATGCTGTAATAATCAACGTGAGCATGCTGTGATAAGCAATGTGAGCATGCTGTGGTAAGCAAGGTGAGCATGCTGTGGGTAAGCAAGGTGAGCATGCTGTGGGTAAGCAATGTGAGCATGCTGTGGGTAAGCTATGTGAGCATGCTGTGGGTAAGCAATGTGAGCATGCTGTGGGTAAGCAATGTGAGCATGCTGTGGGTAAGCAATGTGAGCATGCTGTGGGTAAGCAATGTGAGCATGCTGTGGGTAAGCAATGTGAGCATGCTGTGGGTAAGCAATGTGAGCATGCTGTGGGTAAGCAATGTGAGCATGCTGTGGGTAAGCAATGTGAGCATGCTGTGGGTAAGCAATGTGAGCATGCTGTGGGTAAGCAATGTGAGCCTCCCACCATGTCAGGTTCGACTCACTACCAACTCAGCTTCTGAGGTGACTCAAACCACAGATCGAATCAAAACACTTGCTCCTGCATAACTCCCCATGTTGCTTGTGTGTTGTTGTCTAGGTGGGCCACAGGGTCGGATTGAGCCTGAATCCACACCTCACATGCACCATTTTGAGTTGACTCAAATCACACCTCAGCTCTTAACAACACTCGCTGTTGGACAACTCACAATGCTGCTTGTGTGTCGTTCTCAACATGCGGCCACAGACGCGGGTTCACCTTGTCTCCGCGCCCCACCGACCTTGCATGCTTGGCCACAGGCGCGCCTCACCTTGTCTCCGCGCCCCACCGACCTTGCATGCTTGGCCACAGGCGCGCCTCACCTTGTCTCCGCGCCCCACCGACCTTGCATGCTTGGCCACAGGCGCGCCTCACCTTGTCTCCGCGCCTCACACCATAGTCGCCTCCGTGCATCGACCCCGATTTGGCAGCAGCTAGCGCGACCAGCTCAGGTTCCTTCCACTCACTACCACCTCAGGCTCGACTCCTCACAACTCACGATGCTGCCTGTGTGTCGTTATCAAGGTGCGGCCACAGGCGTGGGTTAACCTTGTCTCCGCGCCTCACATGCACTGCATCGTAGTCCCCCCCATTCATCAACTGGGACATGGCAGCAGCCAGTGCCAGCAGCTGTGGGCGGAACGTCACCCCCTGATTATCGTGCTTGAAGGGCGTCCCTGGCAGCTGAAGGGAGCGGGGGAAGCATTGATGGGTGGAGGAAGCATTGGCTCTGCATCCTAGTCCCCTCCATTCATCGACTGGGACATGGCAATAGCTAGCGCCACCAGCTCCGGTCGATACGCCACCCCTTGATCATCGTGCTTCAAGGGCGTCCCTGGCAGCAGGAGGGGGTTGTGAAAACAAATGGCATGGCAGAGGGGCACTGTATGTAAGCAGGTGGTCTTCCCCTGCATTTCCCCCAAGCAGGTGGTCTTCCCCTGCATTTCCCCCAAGCAGGTGGTCTTCCCCTGCATTTCCCCCAAGCAGGTGGTCTTCCCCTGCATTTCCCCCAAGCAGGTGGTCTTCCCCTGCATTTCCCCCAAGCAGGTGGTCTTCCCCTGCATTTCCCCCAAGCAGGTGGTCTTCCCCTGCATTTCCCCCAAGCAGGTGGTCTTCCCCTGCATTTCCCCCAAGCAGGTGGTCTTCCCCTGCATTTCCCCCAAGCAGGTGGTCTTCCCCTGCATTTCCCCCAAGCAGGTGGTCTTCCCCTGACATGTTGGTGCGCTTGGGGGAAATGTTGGTACAGAGGCGTAACACAGAGGCACTGTAAGCGTGTTGTCCCCTTCGTGCATTGACCGTGACATGGCAACAGCCAGTGAGGCCAGCTCCGGGCAAAACGCAACCCCTTGCTCATGGGGCTTCAAGGGCGTCCCTGGCAGCGCGGAAGGGAGTGGGGAGCAGGTTGATCTGTGGGGCAAAGGCAGAGAGTCACTGTAAGCGTGTAGTTCCCCCCGGCATTGACTGGGACATGGCAGTAGCTGTGAGCAGCTCCAGGCGAAATTCAACCAGTTGCTGATGGAGCTTGGAGGGGGTTCCTGGTAGCTGAAAGGGATTGGTGGGTGGGGGAAGGGTTGGTTGGTAGGGGGAGGATTGGTTAGTGGGGGGAGGATTATGACAGTAAGCATGCCAACCCTCCAGTGCATCGACCGGGACATGGCAGCAGCCAGTGCGAGCCACGCCTGTCGGAACCCAACCACTTGCTCGTGGAGCTCGGAGGGGGTTCCTGGTAGCTGAAGGGGGTGGGGGTCGGGGGGGAGTATTGGCACAGCGAGCACGTAGCCACCACTGCGCATGCATTTTGAGAATCACTTTTGAGACTTCTCAAAAGTGAGCACGGGGCTATACAAGGAGTACGAGGCGCTTTACAAGGAGTTTGAGGCGCTACACAAGGAGTATGAGGCGCTTTACAAGGAGTATGAGGCGCTACACAAGGAGTATGAGGCGCTTTACAAGGAGTATGATGAGCTACGCAAGGAGTATGAGGCGCTACACAAGGAGTATGAGGCGCTACACAAGGAGTATGAGGCGCTACACAAGGAGTATGAGGCGCTACACAAGGAGTATGAGGCGCTACACAAGGAGTATGAGGCGCTACACAAGGAGTATGAGGCGCTACACAAGGAGTATGAGGCGCTACACAAGGAGTATGAGGCGCTACACAAGGAGTATGAGGCGCTACACAAGGAGTATGAGGCGCTACACAAGGAGTATGAGGCGCTACACAAGGAGTATGAGGCGCTACACAAGGAGTATGAGGCGCTACACAAGGAGTATGAGGCGCTACACAAGGAGTATGAGGCGCTACACAAGGAGTATGAGGCGCTACACAAGGAGTATGAGGTGCTACACAAGGAGTATGAGGCGCTACACAAAGGAGTATGAGGCGCTACACAAGGAGTATGAGGCGCTATACAAGGAGTATGAGGCGCTTTACAAGGAGTATGAGGCGCTTTACAAGGAGTATGAGGCGCTTTACAAGGAGTATGATGAGCTACACAAAGAGTATCAGACAGAAACAGGGTGGGATACGAGCCGCGACTCACTTTGCACGTACTGTAGCCGTACGAAGTGTTACGTATGATCAGAGGTGCGACTGTATCGAGCGCCACTGTAGCAGTGCTAGCCGTTCGCTTCACCACTCGCACCCCAAACGGCGCCTCCCCAGCCCCTCTCTCCCTCCGCCACGCCAGTGCCTCCTCAAGAAAGCCTTGCAGGGGAGTGAAAGGCACTCTGGTAACGAGAAGGAAAATCGGAGTGGGAAGAGGTGAAGAAAGAAACGGATAAGCACTCTTGCGAACAGGTGAAGGGCAAACTGCGAACCACACGCACTGCAAACGGCGCCTCCCCAGCCGCTCTCTCCCTCCCCCATGCCAGTGCCTCCTCAAGAAAGCCTTGCAGGGGAGTGAAAGGCATTCTGGTAACAAGTGGGGAAGGCAGAGAGCATGGGGAAGGGGGTAGACAATTGAGGAATTAGTGTAATTTAGAAAGTCGTGAAGATGGAAGAAGGGCAATATGACAACCACAGCCCGTGAGGATGTGGAAGGGGATAGAAGAGAGAGAAGCTGAGTTACTCTGCGGAGATACTTAGCGGACTTAATGTAATTGAACGTACTCAATTGACGAGAGGTCGATGTGCTCGTAAATAGCCTTGTACACGAATTTCCCGTTATTGTGCACTTGGTTAAGGCACACGCGCATGTCCAGCACCAGCGTCCGGTTCAAAAACCGAGCCTCCTTGATTCGGCACGACAGGCTGGTTCGGAAATGCTTCACGCCCGCACACATGTCCCGGTTTCCCGTCACAAATAAATATTTCCGGTCAGGATGGAAATATTCCGCCCGGCTGACCGGAAGCCACTCCGTCTCCCACTTGACTTTATGGCCCACGTCCAGCTGTTGGATTACGAGAGGGTCATCCAGAGAACTAATCTTGGCCGTTGCTTTCTCGAGCGCCACGAGGCCCGTCGAGTTCCGCCATCCGCGGCGCCATTGGCGGTCTCTTATATGTTTTTTGGATCCAGCCCGGTCGAGAGATAGGACCGGCTCCGGGTCGTTTCGAGCCTTCTTTTCGGGACCCAGACGCTGGGAGGTTTGGGACTCGAGAGGTCTCATCTGCTCTGCATGGCCGTCAGATGAATCCAGATCCAACGGCTCTGAGACAAGACTGTTCCGAACACTGCCATCCAACGGCCCTGGGACGAGACTGTTTCTAGTCAAAGCACTGCCATCCAACAGCGCGAGCTTCAGATTGACGGCGTGACCTCGCGACGACGACGGCGACGACACGATCAGCGCTGCGAAACCCTGAGACGAGACGCTCGCCTTGCGCGACGGTCGATCCAACGCACCCAAACTTATCAGTCCTTCAGAATAGTACGACGGAGAATCCACATCGGTTCTGCCTATAACGCGAATAAATTCCGGGGAAGCTTCTAGAGGCCATTGAACGACGAGGATAACAGCTACGGCGAGCAGCAGAGCGAATGTGATCGGCGCGATTCGCGCGTGGACGCGATTGGCGGCGGAGAAGGCGGAGAGGTCGAACAATGCCGATAAAAAGCGCTGATTCGCGGCGTCGGAATGACCACTGGTCCCGCTAGTAGTAGTGTCGCGACACGGAGATAGGTTCAGGGAGATTTGCTGATGCGAATGCTGGCTAGACGTCGGTGACGCCTGTTGGGAAGCTGGCACGGCCGTGGGTATTAGCGGAGAGCTTGATGGGCTGGGGGACTGGCAAGGCGATGGGGACGATTCAGCTAATTCCATGTTTCAACCGTTACGATAACTCGGTAAGACTGTCGTCACGAACAAGGTATTTGAGAGTGACGCGCTGATTAAACGGAGGAGCGAGATGAATCTCTGAGACCGAATTAATGAACAGACCGTGACGAGAACGAAGACTCATCTAAGTCGATTACCCTGAGTCATCACCTCTGAACGAGAGTAAGGGTTCGTCAGAACTGGTCCAAACTTGACTGAACGGGAAAGCTACGCGTGGTAAACGCGGATGGCTCTAGGTAAATAAAGATGGAGCACGTTGTTTCACGGAGGTTGCGAGCGTCAAATGCAAATTTCTGGTGCCGATCACAACGATACAAAAAGCTGAGACATCCGCCACAGACAGAAGAAGTGGAAAACTCAAATATTCTACTCTGCACAACATAAAGGCTGTCCGTCGAAGACTAAGCATTTATCTGATATGCGATTGCGGGCTGTTGAAGGTCGTCTTATCAGCACAGTAACGCAGGACAGGATAAGCAGGAATTGTGTGGGCAGCAGTGGAGGTTCAGAGGAGGTAGGGAAATGTGAAAGTTGGGTTTGTGGGAGTGTCCGAGGCTAGCAGGAAGCAGGTCACCTTGGCCCAGTTCTGTTGCCGCACTACTGGTGCGGACCCCTCCGCACAGCACCAGATGATGCTTCGTGAGGGCCTCTACCGGTGGTCCTCGAACATTCCTTTTCAAGGGCGCATTCCTTGAATCAGGCTCGGGACCTTGAACTCTATCCCGAGCCTGGCCAGTGCTGTGCTGTGCTGTGCGGCCCACATAGCGCTAAAGAACGAGGAACTAGTAGTGCTGTGCTGTCCCCTCCTCCCAGGCAAACTGGGTGCGAGACTGGTGCGAGGCTGGTTCCCGCTCGGATCGCGGACCCAGGGACAGCACAAGTAGTTCCGGGCAGGGACAAATGCCCAGGAAAAATAACTTCACGAGGGAGGGCAATGACCCATTGTTGACGAGAAATATTTTTGGTACTGGTTGGCTGTATTGCTCCAAACCCGCCAATTATTGTCGCGGAAAATATTTAAACGGTCAGCCAAGCAAAACTTTTACGAAGCTCCTCCAGTTGCGCGGAGGGTGGCAGGAAGCTGTATCGCACCAAAGTGGGGGGTTCCTGGCTCCGCGGAAGCACCCGGACGCACCCGTGGTGCTGTGCTGTGCTGTCCGCCCTCCTTTTGCCGTTGGGCAACAGAACTGGGCCCTTGAAGTTAGTTTGATTTGAATCAACGAGCCCAGCCACGCGGGCGCGCGAACTACTGTAAAGGAACTCGCGCCGCAACTGTCTGGCATGTCAGAAAATCATCTGACACCACTCGTTATTGAGTGGCAGATAAGCCTCGAGCGACGCGTGTCGGGCAGACTTCAAGATTCACACGAATTTGGACAACCAAAACACGAGCTTTAAAGAATTTCCTCCATAAAACAACTCGACAAAACATCGAAGAGCACACACCCAAAACTACCAATAGACCCAATAAAACATTGAAAAGCACACCCAAAACTCCCAATTAACTTGACTACACATGAAGCAAAATAACCACTATTCCTCCCTATTGCTGGCCATCTCATGCAGCTATTGCAGCATTGAGCAGAGCATTGTTAACATCCTGGCTCAGTGCCCAGACGAACCACCCTCCATAGCCTTGCGTCTTGGCAAACTGGACCTTCTTGGTGATGGTGGAAGGGTTGTCATAACCAACCCACTGGTTACCCTTCCACGCATACATGCATGAGGATGGGGTGTGGGATGTAGCCGTGTAACCACCAGTGGTTACCAGCTGATAGATCTCCTTGTAGAAGAGGATACCAGCCTCCTGTTGGTGGGATGGAGAGGGAAAATGCAGGCCAAATAAAAAGATGATAAGGCCTTGGAGAAAGCTACGGTCGAAAAGCGCGAGAGGAGGGAAAGCAAAAAACAAACAAAAAACAATGCAGAAGGCTGGTAAATCATGCGACAGGGAGAGGAATCACGATGCAGAGTGGAAACAGGAATGGGGAGCTAACCTGACTGATGGACCCTTTCAGACCAGCCCCACTGGCCGAAGCTCCAACCCCAGTGCTTGTTGAGCTTAAAGTCCAGGTTCGGCCGTACATCGCCAAGCCTACCATGGCCTTGCTTCGGGCCAAGCCTCGAGACACCCAGGCATCCATGGAAGCATTGACGCTCAGCTTCGAGCTCAGGTCCTGCAGAGCAGTGTGCATGCCGGTCTTTGCCTCCCACGACCCGTGCAAATCGTAAGTCATGATATTAACAAAGTCCAGCATCTTGTTAACCGTCGTCACGTTGTAGGATTGGATGATTCTCGCCTCATCGGGAGCAACCGCCGCAGTAAGCAGGAGCTTGGGTTTTCCAGAGGAAACGGCTTCGGATTCGATCGCCGCCCGGAAATCCGTGACCAGTGCCGAGAAAAGGGCGGCCTTGCCAATTGGGTACTCCCAGTCGATATCCAGACCGTCAAAGAAGTACGTGCGGGCGAGGGCGATCGCGGATTGGATGAAAGCAGAGCGAGTGGCGGCAGAGGAGGCGACGTTGCCGAAAACGGTGGTGTTAGCCGAGGCGCCCCCAATGGAGAGAAGGGTTTTAATGGCAGGGTTGAGAGTCTTAAGAGTAGTGTTGAACCGCTGATAGAGGCCTCCAGTGACGTCCACTGCTGTGTTGGGGACGACCTGTGATAGGAGAGAGAGGAGGGACGGAATATTGGGTAGGGAAAGGGCTGAGGCTGCAGAGCGATTGGGAAGCCCAGGCGCTGGATTGATGGAGGGCAAGCAATATGGTACAAGTCTGAGATGGCAGGGAGGACGGAAGAGGAACGGAAGAGGAATGGAAGAGGAATGTCGAAGCACCTGCAGCAGATGGCACGGAGAAGTGTGTGCATGGCAAGACAGCGCGGCGCAGTGCGGTACCTACCTTGTATGTGGTGGGGTTGATGGAAGCAAAGGCGTAGAAGACATGCGTGAGGATGGCAGCAGGGATGAGGGATGGATCCATGTTCGCCCAGTTGACAAAATACGCCATGCGCTTCAGCGGCACCGTTGAGGGCGGAGGGGAGGCGGTCGGGGGCGGAGGGGAGGCGGTTGAGGGAGGCGGGGAGCACTGGGAGAGGCAGCCAGCGCCGCAGTGATCAACGGTGGAGCCACAAAAGTTCCACTTGCTGCAGCAGAGGTTGTTGGGGCAAAGAACCGTGGCGGAGCACTCCCCCTGCGCGCGCACGCGGAGGGGGAGGTGCGCGGACGAGAGCAGCAGCAGCAGCGCCGCGAGCAGGAAGGCTCCTCCGCGGAGGACGAGGAGCGGGGGACGCGGCGCTAGGATCGCCATGGCTGCCAGTGAAAGGGCGGGTTCAACTCAAGCTGAGACTGCGGCGGCTGAGGTGAGTCGCCTTGATGATTGCGCCGGATGAAGACCGAAGGGGAGGGATGAGTTAGAATGGAGAGGCCGCTACGATTTATAGTGTCTGAGAGATGCGGAGGGGAACTGGCGGGATCGCGGGGGACTGGCGGGATGGCGGGGGACTGGCGGGTTGACGGGGAGACATCGTGGGAACACGCACGTTGGCTTGAAGTGCGCGCAGAAGTCTCACGTCGAAAATTCGAAGTCTCGTTGGCGTCCGGCTAAGGCGGCGTGGCGCTTGCCAAGTCACGGTGTGACCAGACGTGTGAAGAAGACTACATCTCGGAAATGCAGTAGACCGTAGGCAGCAGCAGCTACTACGGCTACGGCACCTGCCAGGTGCGCGACCGACGCATCCGCTCGATAAGAGTATTGCGACACTCAAAATATCACCACTCCAACACGAAATACACGCCTCAAAATCGAGATTAACGTGGCTACTACGCCACCTGCGCGACCGACGCAGCTAGCAACGGCACCTGCGTGGAGGACGCAGTATTAGCTGGGGCACCTGCGCGTCCGACGCAGCTACGAGCACCGCACATCTCGCCTGGACGACGTGAAGGGGGATAAAACTACAGGCGGGACGAAATTTCCGTGGACGACGTTCCATGGATCGTCATCCATGGCTATGGGTAGATTCGTGAATGGAACATTGGAACATTCGTGGACGATGTTCCATTGACGAATCTACCGGTAGCCATGGATGTCGCGAGGAAGGCGGTTAAATATGAGACAATCATTGCTGAAAGGAACGCGGCGGTATAGTTGTTCTCGCGGACGTCGCTCTTCCTCCTCACGGTTACATATTTACTCCAACGGGAGTCCAAAGAGTCGGCTACATCTGCTCGCAATGGTGGTCCGACTTTATCCATGGTCGAGAAACTACGCACAGGGCAAGCGTCCCGAGTTCCCAACCCTAGGAATTGTCGAGAAAACCACTGTCTGTTAGTGTTTTGGTAAAGTCGAGGGAATGCCGAAGTGATGTACAGGAAGGAATGTATTTTCAGCTCAGAGATGGAGGTTGAGAGCGATTCTGAAGAAAACAAAACGGTTCAAATGCGGAGGAAGGAGATGTCATTTCAGCATGAAACAAGCTGAACTGGACTGGTTGGGACAAACAGGCGTGCAGTGCAGTGGGTGTTCCTGGTTCATGCTCTGGGTCTCGTGACTCGCATTATCGCATAGTACTGTATCGGTGTTATGTGATCACGCAGAGTGATTGGTCCAGGCCAGTTTCGGGCGCTACAGAACAGTAGGCCGCCCATTCGCGAGAGAGTTACCCTACACGAATCATCTATCTTGAAATAGGTATACTACCCGAAAAGTAGGCCTAGGCTCGTCTAGACCTCGTCTAGGCCTAAGCAGCCACTGCGCGGCGCAATGGCGGCTCTCACTCCCTCCGTTCTTCCCTATCCCACGCTTCTCTTTCCCTGGCTCTCCGATAGTAGCCATCAGGCAGCAAATACCACTACCGTCGGCAGTCTGCCAGAAGCAGCGTCATTGTCGACATTGTTGTCGCCTCCCGATTCCCACGATGGCACCAGAGGTTTCACCTCCTTGCTTTCCCTCCATCCATCCACCACTAGTAATGTCACTTCCTTCCTCACCGCCGCGTCGTCCGCCGCGAACTCCGGGGCCAATTTCTCCGCAAACGCCGCGGTGGCCGCGATCGACGCCGTCTCGCGCGGCAATTTCTCCGAACCTTACTACTCAGCCGCCGCATTCTCTCCCATTCCATCCGTCTCCACCGCAATTCTCGGCCCGTCCGCCGCGCCGCCGCCGGCGCCGCCTCCGCAATTCGTAGATTCGTTCTGCAAGCCGCAGTTTAACGGATCGTGGGAGTCAATCACGAACGAGCTAGGCGCTTTCACGCCCTGCTTCATCGACATTGTCGTACTCGGTACAGCGTACCTCGCTATGATTCTTCTAGCCGTGCTGCGGCTGTACGTTCTCTACACCACCCCGCGCGCGCAGCAGCGGGCGGTTGCGCCCGGGTGGCGCGGGGAGCGGGGGATCGTGGCGGCTGCTGCGCTGGCGCTGACGTGTGCGGTGGTCCCGCTGATGCAGCTGAGCGCTCGCGTGTCACTGAGCTCCTTCTCTACAGATGCGGATTTACCGCCTTATGAGGTGAGTCACAGCTTACGTTGCACAGTGACTTTGGAGTTGACTCAAAAGGCAGCTGAACGCTCGTGTGTCCTGGAGCTCCTTCTCTACAGATGAGGGATTGCCTCCTTATGAGGTAATTGCCGTATATGCTTGACTTTTCCAATGCATTAAGCATCTCGGTTTCTCACTTCCTGTCTGCTCTGTAATTCTCTTGGTCCCTGCTGAAACCCTAGCTTCTGCGGTTCTTTTCTGGGAGCTGCTGGCTCTGAGGCGGTGCAAGCACCCAGTTGTGAGATCTGAGGCGGTGCAAGCACACATCGTTTCGTTTTCTTTTCCGAATTCAACGCCTTCGTGCTCCTCCCTCTCCTGGAGCCTCACGTCACATCAGCTGCTCACTTGTGGGAGTGGCGGCGCATTGTGGTCAGGGCGCGTGGGTGCCATGCTGTTTAACTCGCTGGTTTCCTCTGCTGCCCCCTTTCATCCCATGCTCTTCCCTAGGTTTGCTCCTTGATCCTCGCGTTTCTCGCCTGGGCGCTCACAGCAACGGCTCTCTTCTGGGAGCGCAGGCGCATGGCAGTGAAGGGCGCATGGCTGCTGCGGTTTGCAGTGCTCTATGTGATGGTGGGGCAGCTGGCGAAGCTGAGATTCGTGCTCATTCTGCAGCAGGACTTCCAGGCGTGAGTGCTTTGTATGGAACGGAGTGCCCTGGCAGCTGACCACGCTGACATCTGGGCTCCCATCTTGCAGGGCGATTTCTGGGCGTGAATGCTCTGGTAGTGGCACATTGTGATTGTAACGGGGCAATTGACTGTTGGCGGGTGCATTGCTGCTCCTGACATTCACCACGAGTTTGGGAGTAGTTGCCCACTTTTCAGGCGCCGCAAAAGGTTGAATAGCTGCTGTGCTGTGCTGCTGACACTCACCACGAGTTTGGGAATGGTTGCCCAAAAATTCCGAGTTATGGCAAGTGGTGATTGTGGATGTGGGCTTGTTGTTGAGAGGCGAGAATCCTCCGAACCAGTCCACTCATTCATTGCTTTCCGTCTATTGTATCCCCTTAACAATTGGTGGCTGAACCCAGATTCTTCCCCTTTACGCGTTTGCATGCTTTCCGTCCTTCCCAGTTTCTTTGTGGAGCTATTCTTTGGCTACACATCAGCCCATGTAAGTGTTAATGGCAACTCTTGTGCAACAGATGTGCAACTCTTGTGCAACAGATGTGCAACAGAGAGAGAGACTTTACTTGGATAAAGTCCCTCCTCCAATCACTCTTTCAGCTGACACAATTGTTTTTCCTCTTTCTCCTCCTTTGCCCACCGCTCCGAGCCGAGCCCCCACCGCCACTTTTCACCCCCCCTCCCCCTTCCCTTGCATCTCCATTGTTCGTAAGTTCGCCTGGAATGCTTCAGGTCTTTCTAGTCATGTTGGCCGAATTTTTCTTCCTCTGCTTCTTCTTCCTCTCCTTTGTCGTCATTATTCCTCCCTCTCGTTCCTCCCCCCCTCCTTCCGCTCCCCTTTCAACCTCGCTTGCTGAATCCCTTCATCCCTTGCCTTTCCTCCTCCACCCTCTCTCTCTCTCACATTCCCTCCTCCCCCCTCCTCTTGTACCCCCCTTCGTTCCCCCTTGTTCCCTCTTGTTCACCCCAGGTGCTCCTAGGCCTGCTCACGCTCTTCTTCTTCCCCAACCTGCTCCTTAAGAGCACCCTTCGCCAGGCTTATTCTCCTCTTCCGCCCTCTCTCCTTCCCTTGCGCCCACTTTGTACCTCCCTTCTTCCCGTTTCTTCCCCCTTCTTGCACCCCCAGGTGCTCCTAGGTCTGCTCGCGCTCTTCTTCTTCCCCAACCTGCTCCCCCAAGAGCACCCTTCGCCAAGCCTCTCCTCCTCCTCCGCCCTCGCAGCCGCAGAGGCAGAGGCAGCAGCACCGTTCTTGCCACCTGCAGCAGCAGGAGAAGCAGCAGGGGCAGCAGGGAGTGGTGGTGGTGCGGGGTATGTGCCTTTGGCTGCAGGGCCTGTGGGTGGGGCGGAAGGAGAAGCAGCGGAGGCGGAGGGAGGAGACAACCAGGGGCAGGTGTGCCCGGAAGACCACACCAGCTTCATCAACCGTACTGTTAGCTCTCTCTCACCTGTTTCTTAAACCCCACCGCTGTACCTTACACCTTAAACCCCAAAAA